GGGCCCTTGAAACTTGCGCTGTCCTCCGCGACCTTCTCGCTTCTTATTCTCATCCACGGGGTAGAACTTCCTTGCTGTCTTGACTCGTCGAAGGAGGTCTCTGGCTTCCTCGAAGCTGCGCTGCTGGGCGGCGAACGCGGTCTCGGCGCCCTCGATCTCCTGGGCGCTGTAGAGCGGCTCCTCGGGATCTCTCTCGTCCTCGTCGCCGTCGCCATCCTCATGGGAGACCTCCGACTGCTCTCCGTCATAGTAGCTGGAGTCGTCGTCGTCCTCGCTGTTCTCCTCCCAGCCGGCGTGGATTCGACCTCGCTCTCGATGGCGATGGTTGTCCTTGCCTGTCTTCTTGTCGCGATTCGTCAACTCATCGTCGGGCCAAGATACTCGCAGCTGCTCTTCGATGCTGTCGTAGTCGAAGTTGCCTTTAACTGCGCTGATCACGGCTGCACGCTCGCTCGGGGACAATCTTGATCTCTGCAGCAGTAGCCATCCGCGCAGTTGGTCCAGAGGAACCGCCTGATTGAAGTCGGTGCCGAAATCTGGATGCTCGGGGATCTCCTCTAGGCCGTTGCTGACAAAACTCCAGAACCACCAGTTGAGGTCCTTCGCCACTTCTGCCGCATCCTCTGGGCCGTCAGGCTCGATCTTGTAAAGAAACCACTTCAGCTCACTGTAGAGGGTGTTCCGCAACTTGGATCTCTCGGAGAGTCTGGCCGCACGTTGCTTCTTGACATACTCGGTGTCGAACCCTTTTCACAACGTCATGGTAGGCCTCGTCGTCTCTGCTGATATAACTCGGCATCGGCTCTCCTGTGTCTCGGCGTAAGTCGAAGATCCATCTCGCTAAATACTTACCTGCGTCCTGGATGGGCTGAGCTCCGAGCTTCGCTCGGACATGTCGTAGTAGCTCGGCAGCTCCATCGTCTTTCTCGGTGCGGTCCCAGTCTACGTCCTTGGCTGCTTGTCGGGCTCGACCTTCTAGTCGTCTCCATAGACGTGGGCCGCACACATGTCTCTCATCTCGCCTCGTCCCTCGGATGTAGGCCTTGACGTCTCTCTCATAATCACCCACCGTGGTGAGATCTCCAGTCCACTTAGGTATGATGTCATCGGCGCCGTCGTTCTTAGTCATGGCTTACACGATGAAACTCGATGTCCGTGAATATGTCGTCCGTGGAGCTTGAAGCTCCGCCACCATGCAATGGTCCCGTTTCTGACCACTGCCCTGATAGCAACCCTGAATAGATGCTACTCTCTTCTCTTCTCTGACAACGTGTCGATATCAATATAGGAAGTGTTGGGCTCGTCTCAAAACTGGTTGTATTCGATGGGCAGTGGCGGTGCGATGCACACTATGGTGGGGAACAGGATCTGATTGTTTGCGGGCAGTTCGCTGCTCTGCGTCTCTTGGACGCACACCAGAAATCCAGCGTCGCTGAGACGCTGCAAGGTCTTGAGCCAGAACGGTTTCGATTGAACCTGTTCTGTGTATAATATATGTTGCAACTGGTTGCTGTGGAAACGGAGGGCCTACTAAGCAAGGCTTGCTGAAACCTGGGGTCTTGGGAGGCCCGGTTCGCCGGGAAACGCTTGGCTAACATACACGAGGCTCCTTTGGAGCCTGAAGCATATATATATATATGTATATACATATATATATATATATAGATATATCACGCTAGGCCTCTAGGGGCCATCTGTCGTAAGTAGGCTCTGAAGAGGCAGGCCCTGGGCTGTGAATTGCACTATTAGGGCCCTCGGGGCCCTCTTGGGCTCTCGTAGGGCCCTCGGGGCCTTCTTGTGAGCCTATTGGGGCCCTCTTGGCATCTCTTAAGGCCCTCGGGGCCCTCTTGGCCGCATTGGGGCCGTATGGGGGCCATCTTGGGCCGTTTTGGGCCCCTTTGGGGCGCCTCTGGGGCCGTCTTGGGATAATCTCTGGGGCATCTGAGGCCGTCTTGGGCCCGTCTGGGGGCCCTCTTGGACCGTTGCTGGGGCAGTCTTGGGGCCCTCTTGGGCCGTCTTGGGGCCCGTGGGCCGCTTCACCTGAAACAAAACATAAAAAAACTGGCCATGGGAGCCGCCCGGGAGCCGCTTCACTCGAAAAATAAAAAGGAAACGCGCCATTAGACAAATCCCCCCGCGCCTCGCAACCCCCCTGGACCCCCCTAAGAAAGGCTTCGCCCCAACTCAACGTCACTCGCTCGTACCTCGCTCTTTCCGTCACCTGGGCCGGCAAGGACACGGAAAGAGCGCTTCAACAACTTGACCGAAATTACTCACACCACCGTTCGTCCTGGGAGCCTTGGCGTTGAGAGCTTGTTATGTCACCCCGCGCTCTTGGGAGCCTTGGTGTTCAGAGATTGTTGCGCTGCCGCCCGTTCCTGAGCCTTGGCTGGGTTTTGGTGTCAGGAACTTGTTACGTCACCGCTCCATGCTGGGAGCCTTGGTCTTATCAGCTTGTTTACGTCACCGTTCGCTCTTGGGAGCCTTGGTGTGAAGAGCATTTTGCGTTACCGATCGCTATATATTTGGCTTCTCCGAGCCTTCTTGGGAGTCATATTGCGGCCCTTTTTGAGCCCCTTTGGGGGCCTCTTGGGGAGACTTTCGGGTTCGTGGTCCCCCTTCTGGGGCCGTCTTGGGGCCCTCTTGTGCCGTCTTGGGCGCCTCTTGGGCCCTCTTGGCGCCCTCTTGGGCCGTTTTGGGGACCTCTTGGGAGCCTCTGGGGCCGTCTTGGGGCGGTCTTGGGGGCCTCTTGGACCGTCTCCAACGCCGTGGAAGCCGAAAAGCCGTGCATGCAAAACATATACGTTTTCCGAATGGAAGTCCATGATTTTCGCCTCCTGATGGCCTCGTCGGACGCCTCTTGGGGGCCTCTTGGGTCTTCTTTGGGTGCTGTGGGGGCCTCTTGGGAGCCTCTTGGGCCGTTTGGGGGCGGTCGTGGGGGCCTCTTGGGCCGTCGTCAACGCCGTGAAAGGCGAAAAGCCGTAGATGCTAAAAGTATACGTTTGCCGCAGGAAAATCTATGATGTTGGCCTCTTCGGGCCCTCTTGGTGGGCCGCCTCACATAAAAAAACAACAAAAAACGGGCCATGGGAGCCGCCCGGGAGCCGCTTCACTCGGAACAATGCGAGGAAAACGAGCCATTAGACCAATGCGCCCGGGCCTCGCCCCTCCCCTGGACCCCTCCCTAGAAGGGCTTCGCCCCCTGCTCAACGTCAGTCGCTCGTACCTCGCTCTTTCCGTCACCCGACCGAGAGGCATTTCAGCCGCGTTGGGCTGGATCAAGCCGGGGAGCAAGGCGGACTAAGCCAGATCGGACGTGACTTCAGCGGGAGTATGAGTATGCTGGACCAGCAAGACGAGCCCGACTCTGCTCCACGTGGGATGCACGAGGACATGCTGGTACTATGCGCCCCTCTTGGAAGCGCACGTCCGAACCGAGCATCTAGCACAAACGGATGCCAGTGTATCGCTACTCGGGCGCTGTGGCCAGAAAGCGCCTGTCGCCAAGCATACGCCATAAGATTTCTGAGCGCACGCGTCGCCCCAGGGCGGCCGACACCCACTCAGTCGAAGTACGTTTGGGTGGTGCCGACTCGGCGTCCGACGGGCCAGGAATGCCCGAAGACAGCCAAGAAGGCTTCCAAGAAGCCCCCAGGAGGCTCGAAGATCCCCTCGAGAGGCCTCCTCCCGCGACGCCCCCAAAGAGGGCCCCAAGGCGGCCCCATCGGCCTCCAAGCGAACCCGCGCACCAGCGGGAGCGCCCCGGATCCACGACAGTCGGACCTAGGCCAGAAGAACATCCCTCAAGAGCATGAGACCCTCCGTCGGCCAAAACACACGGAACGTCCAAGGGTACCCTCCCCAGGATGCGCAAAAACGTCCAACAAGCACAGAGAACACCAGGGTAACCCTCCCAGAGCCGACCTCGACCCTATACAGTAGGGGCTCGACCACAAGAAACCTTCCACGAGAAACCCAACCCTGGGACCCCAGGGCGGCCAGGGCGTGCACTGGCTCTCGGTGTGGGGGCGTCACGCTTTCCACTGCGGACCCAGCGAGACCCCAGGGAAACCCATGGCACCCTGAAAGGCAGGCAGCGCGCTTCTCGGCACGGGCTGCCCCCTGCACCCCCGCTCCGACTCCGTGTCCGGGTGATGCCGACGCTGCCCTCTCGGGGAGCGGCGGCGGGCGGCCGCGCGCCCGCAGGAGGGAGGCCCCGCCTCTGCCCCGTTCGCTCCTGCTGCCGCCGCCCGCCGCTGCGCCGCGCCCTCGGCGGGCTGCCCCCGAAGCAGTGCCCTGCCGCTCGCCACCGCTCGGACGTCCCCCTCCCCGTGCACGCCTCGATCTCCTGCTGTCTTTTTGTTTTTGCCCGGCGATCCAGGGATGCCCCTGGATGGTCCTCGCCGAGAGGGAGATGCACAAGTCCGAGCGGTGCCGGGTGCCCGCCTCTCAGGCCGTGGATGCTGGCCCGACGAGGCGGAATGCCAGGAGAAGGCTGGGGCCGGGTCTAGGAGGTGATGACGACGACGAGGGAGAAGGAGAGGAGGGGGGCGACGACGAGGCAGGGGAGAAGAACACAGGAGAAGTGAAGGGAGGTGGAGGGCAAGATCACTCAGAATTGCTTCAGGAAATCGGGTCGAGTCGGAACATGAGCCGGATCGGTCCGCATCGGCAGGGAATCACACCACGATACAAAACAGCACATGCATACATCGGCTGCATCGTCTCGCCAAGACATCGGATTCGCATCGAATCGGGTCGGGCTGGCTGGAATTGACGTCAAAGTCTGCCGATCGGATCGAAATCTACCCATGGAGGGTGGATGGGGGATAGAGAAGAGGCGAGGCGAACGAACAACAAATCCTACTCCTCCTCCTCCTCCGCCTCCTCGTCCTCCTCCCTTTCTCTCCCGACTTCCCAGTCCCCCCTCCCCATGCCTTCTCTTCCGGCCCCTTCTCCCGCCTCCTCCTCCCCCCTCACCCATACTCATCACTACAGGCCTTCTGCCGCTTGTCGAGCATATCCCGCAGCTCGCCCACGAGCATCGACTCACGGTTTGCCTTCTCCTCGAAGTTGTACATCGCCAAGGCGCGCTGGGAGCCAGGCCAATTGTTTCGCGCCAGCAAGGCTCGGAGATATACTGAACGACTGAAAAACCATGAATGCCCAAGTGCGGAGGTCGAGCCGATGCGAGAGGGCGGGATGAGGCGAGGCGTGGGGAGGAAGATTAAGAAGGACGTGAAGCATGAGGGGGTTATATAATGACGATGTCCAGAAAAGGGAGGAGATGGGGATGAGGAAATCTGAGAACGTTGGAACGTCGAGTGTGGAGACTCGTAGAGAAGAACTATGAAACTGGCCCGACCCCAATTAGGGGAACGCTTCTCGTTACATGGGCGCACTGCTTGGTATTGCTGGGCGTTGCCTGCCTTTGTTTCGTATGGATTTGTGTTGATTGGCATAGTTTATATTGATTTGGCGCTGCTTTGCATTGTTTGGCTTTGCGTTGCCTGGCATTGCTTAGCGTTGTTTGGCATTGCTTAGCATTGCTTAGCGTTGCTTGGTGTTGTGTGGCATTGCTTGGCGTTGAATGGCGTTGCTCGTCATTGCTTGGCATTATGTTGCGCTCCTTCGCATTGCTTGGCATCGCGTGGCATGTCTTGGCGTTGCTCGGCGTTGCTTGGCATTGCGCTTGGAAAGAAGACCAAGCAATCCATGGAATGCAGTCCATGAACAAAAAGACCTAGTCACCCAGTCAATGCAACAAGGACACCAGGCCAAAGAAACTGTGAAACGCAGCAAGGCAACAAGACCAAGCAGCCTGGAGCAACGCCACGGTAAGGACTCAAGATCGAGCAATACCGGGGAACGCCTGCGGAGTGGAACGGGGCCAAACAACCCCCCGAGAAACGCCACTCTCAACAAACACCACCTCGAGCAACCACGAGGAACACCGGCCGGCTAAGCGGGGCACCCACTGTGAGGAGAGAGTGCCGGGCAACCTCGAGGAACGGCATTGCAAGGAAGCGCGATCAAAAAAACCTCGAGGAGACAGTGCTGGGCAACCTCGAAGAACGCTTCTGTGAGGAGACACGATCAACCAGCCCGAAGAACGCTGGCCAGCCAGGCCCCGCACCCACTGTGGGGGTGGCACGGTAAAGAGAGGAGGCCCCGCTGACCTAGCAAGCCCTAGGAACGGCACGGTAAAGAGAGAGGGCCAAACAGCCCCGAGGAATGCTGGCCAGCCAGGACACCCGCCCACCGAGTCTCTTTACAAGCAAGTAGGAGACCCTCAGGCAAAGCCTGGTTGGGGAAATATTGCAGATCGCATCGAATCACACCGATCCCCCGGAGCGGTATTGTGCTGCTCCATTTTTGTTTCGCCTCATCGTCCTGTGTACTCCACCCTATCCTCCTCACTAATCACACGGAAAGACGTAGCTAATAATTGTTGTATTGCAAGGGTGACGGTGGGCAACAGCCGGCGGGCAAATCTCATGGACACCCTGCGGAGGTCTTCGTCCGTACAACATTGCTCTGCGTGTCCTGCTGATCCTTCCCTACTCATGATAATTCGTCGTCCGCGATCATCCCGTCTCCCAGAAACAATCATAATCGAATCGAGAAATCGGATCGGATCGGATCGTGCCTCGGTGCCTCGGATCGAGCTGCATCGGCACGTTATCGAACAAATCGTGTCGGCTCGGCTGAGCCAAGATGCACAACAACGCCATGCGACCATTGGGCCGCATCGGAAAAACACATCGGACCGAACTGGGCCAGCCAGCCAGAAGCGACGTCGAGTCGGATCGGTCGGATCACTATGCTCACCGCCATCCTCGCCGTACTCCATCATTTCAGCCCCACGTCGTCCTCATTTCCCCGTGTTTCGGCAAGACGTAGGCGGCTCCTGAGGGAAGCGGGTCCTGGACCCCTGGCCACTCTGCCAGGACCAAAATGTCTTGCCCTGAGCTGTGCGTTGACCGGCCCTGGGCTCGTGGAGGGTTCCCGGAACCCGAAAGCGGAGGATGTCTGCAGGCCCTCAGGACCCCGTGACTTCGTGGCGATCATCATCCTCTCCTTCCTCTTCACCTCCTTCGTGCTCCCCCTCGTCGCAGAAGCCCGTGCGACCAGTCGCGGAAAAGGGAGGGGCCGTCCTTCTCCTCGGCCGAGTACACCTGGTTCTCCTTTCTGATACGCACGGCGTTCATGCGTCGATGCCTGGAGACGGCCCCTTCCCCCTGTCCGACGGCGCCTCCGCAACGGGAGGAGGAGCAGCAGCAGGAGCAGGAGGAGACAGGAGCATGGAGGACGGAGGACAGCCGAGATACGCATGGAGGAAGCAGGAGGGCGAGAATAAGATGTGGTGACAGACGATGGATTTGGGCGACCCTAAAGGCGGTCCAGCTGAAAGGGAGTGGTGCAATAGAGCTGGGGCAATTGTATTGTAATGCATTGCGCTGGAGAATTGTATTGCATTGTATTGCAAATAATGCGTTGCACGCGAAAATCCAGCAATACATTTGCGCTCCGGAATGTATTGCACGCCCCAAGTGCATTGCAACCCCACAAATCTATTGCACCAAATCTATTCCACTACCCCCTTGTCACTACACCCCTTTTTGGGACGAGCCGAGATAGAGGGTGGAGGTCGACGGAAGTAGCGAGGAAGTCGGGAGCAGGGGGAAGGCCAATGGAGCACAAAGAAGGGAGGACCGCAAAGTGGCCAATTTGGATGAGAACCGGCAGGAGAACGACGCCGCGAGGGCGGCAATGGTAAGGTGCGGATGCGAAAATGAGCAGGTGGAGGAGAAACAAGAGAAGGGTGATAAAACGGATGCAGAACAAACACATACATAATAGAAACAAGGGGAAGAAAACACGGATCATGGCGCGGCACGACACGGCATGGCCAAACCGAGCATCCGGAAGGACGCGTGGGCGGAAGAGCGCACCCACGATTGGCAGCTCTTCGTGGCAATGCAAGAAACACCTGACTGAGTGATTTCGTACACACAGAGCTTGACTGTGCAGCACGAGCAACGGAGCGCATCACGACTGCGAAGCAGGAAACGAGAGGGGATCGGGAGGGGGGGAGGAGGAGGACGATGAGGAGCGAACGGGCTAGAGTCACACGCAAGACAGCTTGTACACTGAAGTCGCCCACTGTTGTCGCGGGCGCCAACGTTTCCGGCGGCGTGCCCAGTTTTTGGGAATGCCGTCCGCATCGCACAAGACATGTTTGATCAAGGACGGGCTGGAGATTCGATTGTACAGAGCTGCGTGGCGTTCCGTCAGAATCGCAAGTCATTGTGCCGACGACGTTTTCTGCAACACGTCACTGTTGCGAACGAGGGAAATGTCCGAGTGGGGAATACCAACTAGGCGACGCAAACATTTGCAAAGGAAACTGTCCAATCTTGAGCACGGAGTCGAAATCGAATTTGATCGGCCGCGCCAACATGCACAATAACGCCATGCAAACATCGGGCCACATCTCATTGTCAGAACTCTGGAACTGAGCCAGATCGGGGGCGATCAACATCGAGATCGGATCGGAGCAATCAGATCTGGATGACCCTGCAGGGATAGGGAGAAAGAGAAGGCCTGAGGGGCACGGGCACGACTGGGAGGCCATTAGGGCGGAGAAGACGCTGCCTGAGACACGCGAACCACGAAGGCTAATGGACCACCGCATAGGCTCACAACAGGGAGGACTGAGAGATCTGAACCGTCGCACGGTCACAGACACACTGATGCATGCGCGCAGAATGATATGACGCGGTCTCAAAGCATGAGGAGCAAACAATATATGAATCTGAATCGGCATCTGCTGGACAAGGACCAAGATAGGCAACGAGGGAGCGTCTGGCGTCTAATGCGAGAGAAATTCTGGGCAACACGCGCTGTCCTGGAACCGCTCATGACGTATCCGAGGCTCTCGAGACCCTCGATCTGGTCAGCCGAAATTCCGACTTCTCCTCTGCGAGGGATACGCATGCCGCTTTTGACGTACCTGTCTGGGCGTTGCCGTGGCGGGTTGCTTCTCTCGAACAGCCATGCGCAACGGATGATCTGAAAAAAAACGATCTCTCGCTGCACCTGTTCTCTCTCTCTCTCTCTCTGTCTTTCCCCCCTCTCTCTCTCTCTCTTTCTCCCTCTGTGCCTCAACATATGCTTCTCTAACTCTCTGTCTCTCTCTCTCTCTCTCTATTGTTTTCTCTTGCTGGCCTTATCTCTCTCTCTCTCTCTCGTTATCTTCGTGTGTTGCTTGTTTGTGTATGTATCTCTCTCTCTCTCTCGTTCCGCTTCTCTCTCCCCCTATGTTTGTTGTTGTTCTCTCTCTCTCTCGCGTTCCCGTTCTTTCTCTCACTCTACCTCCATGTATCCCTCTGTCTCTGTCTCTGTATTTCTATATATATATATATGTATAGATTTATAGATTCCCCCACTCTCTCTCTCTCTCTCGATGTATGTATGCATGCGTATGTGTATATACATGCCCGACACCGTGCCGCTGGGCACGCAGTGGGCGTGTCCTCAAGTCCTGGGCCCGATCCTCCAAGCCTCATCCCTCGCTCTTGAGGAATATTGAAAGGGCCGGACCCTGAATTCCGAAATCTCTTGGGTCTTCCGGCCCCCTTGGCTTTGGGAAGTAGCGCCCCCAAGACGGTCTAAGAGCGGCCCGAGTCGTCGAACGATCGCTCCTTGACGCTCAAGATTGCCTGCCCAAGAGGCCTCCAAGACGCCCTAAGAGGCTTCTAAGAGGCCTCCCAAGAGGGCAAAGTCATTGACTGTCGTTCGATTGGTTTTGAAGTTTTTGAAGGTTTTGGTTTTCTCGCCGTCTCGGCTTCCCGACGCTCCCGACTGCCCTGGACGCCCCCACGATCACCCCAAGACGGCCCAAGAGGCCTCCAAGAGGGCCCAAAGACGGCCAAAGAGGGTCCCAAGACGGCCCAAGAGGAGCCCGAGACAGCCCAATATGCCCACAAAACGGCTGCAAGAGGGGGCCCAGATGGGGAACCCGAACGGACAATTCGAGCCCTCAGCTCCGAGGGGCCGCCAGGATGCCCCAAGAGGCCCCAAGAGGCCGCAAGAGGCTCCCAAGAGGCCCCCGAGAGGCCCCCAAGAGGCTCCCAAGAGGCCCCCGAGAGGCCCCCGAGAGGCCCCCAAGAGGCTCCCAAGAGGCCCCCAAACTGCTCCCAAGAGGCCCCCGAGAGCGCTCCGAAGTGACCCGAAGAAGCATCCCTGGGAACTCTGACCCAAAACCCAGGCGCGGTGGCGCGATGGGCTAAAGGCCATCTGCCATCAGTATGAATATGTCCCTCACTCCGGCCCCCGTGTCTCAGTATCTCTCCTTCTCTCTCTCTCTCTCTAGCCCGTGCTCCCTCTCTCTCTCTCTCTCTGCATGCGCCTGCCAAATTGATTGTCTGTCCCTCTCTCCCTCTCTAACTCCATGTTTATTCCCAACCATCCTGTGGCGTTGGCTCCTCGTTTTGAAGAGACCGTCCCCGCGTTCTCCTCCTCTTCCTCCTCTTCCCCATCCTCCCTACCGTCCGCATGCGTCCCGCACACCCAGTACAGCGTTTCGTGGCCCCATAGGGAGCCCCACCGAAGGTCCCAGTGCTACATTTCACATGCGTCCCGCACACCCAGTACAGCGCTTCGTGGCCCCATAGGGAGCTCCACGGAAGGTCCCAGAGCTACCGTCCGCATGCGTCCCGCACACCCAGTACAGCGTTTCGTGGCCCTCCTGGCCCTCCTCCCCCTCCTCCCTGCGTTTCACCCACCCAGTACAGCGTTTCGTGGTCCCACAGGGAGCCCCACCGAAGGTCCCAGTGCTACCGTCCGCATGCGTCCCGCACGCCCAGTACAGCGTTTCGTGGCCCCATAGGGAGCCCCACCGAAGGTCCCAGTGCTACCGTTCACATGCGTCCCGCACACCCAGTACAGCGTTTCGTGGCCCCATAGGGAGCCCCACCGAAGGTCCCAGTGCTACCGTCCGCATGCGTCCCGCACACCCAGTACAGAGTTTCGTGGTCCTCCTCCCCCTCCTCCCTGCGTTTCACCCACCCAGTACAGCGTTACGTGGCCCCATAGGAAGCCCCACGGAAGGTCCCAGTGCTGTACAGCGCTTCGTGGCCCCAGAGGGAGCTCCACCGAAAGTCCCAGTGCTACCGTCCGCATGCGTCCCGCACGCCCAGTACAGCGTTTCGTGGCCCTCCTCCCCCTCCTCCTTGCGTTTCACCCACCCAGTACAGCGTTTCGTGGCCCCATGGGGAGCCCCACCGAAGGTCCCAGTGACCGTCCGCATGCGTCCCGCACGCCCAGTACAACGTTTCGTGGCCCCATAGGGGGAGAATCGCCGGAAGCGGCCAAAAAACTTCCGTTGCGATTGTTTAAACGCCGCGAGTATGTCTTGGAACCTGTCAGCTGCCTTTCACTTGCTTCTCGGAGTCCGCGCAGACGTCTTGGATCGGCGCTGGACCCCCCCCAACTCCGTGGCGCGCGGATCGCACCAGGTGCTGCCAGGGGGTCCAAGCACCGGTCCAAGAGATCAGCGCGGACCTCCGAGACCTGGTGGTTATCAGCGCGGACCCCCCCCCCCTCCCTGGCGCACGGATCGCACCAGGCCAGGCGCCACCAAGGGGGGGCCCAGCACCGATCCAAGAGATCAGCGCGGACCTATGATGATGAGGAGGAGGAGGAGCAGGCGGGGGGAGGAGGAGGAGGAGGAGGAGGAGGAGGAGGAGGAGGAGGAGGAGGAGGACGACGAAGAGGAGGAGGAGGAGGAGCAGGAGGAGAAATGTGTTGTTATTGTCCAGCTCTCCGCCCCAATCATTTGCGCCCGGCCCGGGCGCTCTGCCATGGCGTCTCCCTCGCCGGGCCTCGGAGGGGAGGGGGCGGCCAGACGGACGGCGGGGAGGGTGGCGCTGGCTGCGGGCGGCAGCGCCCCTCTCCTCCGGCCCTGTTCCTCCTGCTGCTGCGGCGCGCCCACGTGAGCGCCCCGCCGGCGCCCGTGAGATCCTCACGAGGTCCACGAGCCGAGCACTTCCGATAGGTGCTTCCATCAGGATGCCCTCTGTGCACGGCCGACTGTGGGCGACGCTGCTCGCCCTTCCCCTGCTGATGCTGATCCTCCTCATCCTCCTCCTTCATCTGTTCCTGCTGCTCCAGCTCTCGCGAGGGCGAGTGATGTCCGCTCGGTCGGAAGAAGTGAGTGGAACAACGTGGAGTAGGAAGGCGTTAACATGGATTTGGTTTCCAGAACGCCCTTTGAGCCGCAAAGAGCAGGAAAGAGGGGGGAACGCTCGACACTGTGAAAGATGAATGCACCTTAAGTCGATTGGGATATGGGAGCCCTGAAGTACCTACCTGAAACGACCGATGGGTTGGGGGGACCAGCTCAGGGGGTAAAACATCCTTGAATCGGCGATACATCACCGATAGGTCGGCGATATCCCCCCGACAGCGAATCCCCACGCTCCTGGGCGGGGTGGGCGATTGGGCCCTCATCGGCGATCAATGGGCGATTGGGAAGGGAGGATCCCCTAAGCCCCCCCCCGTGGCATTGCCCCTGAAGCTCGGTGGTACTCGGTAATACAGAAGGCAGGGGTCGTACCAAACACAACAGGAGCTCAATCGTCGCCATACGACACAAGCTCGTCGAGCCTCTGCCCCAAGGAGTGTCGTGCCCCCCGTCCCTCCTCGGACTCGCTCCCTCCTCGGACTCGTTCCCGTCCTTGCTGTTCCTCCTCTCGGCTGCGCACGTGAAGCAGTTACCCTGAGGCGGCAGTTGGCGAGCGGCCGAGCAGCCCCAGGCGCGCTAGCCAGGCTCTGGTGGGGCCCCTGTGGGCCCGCACCAGGAGGCCTCTCTGGCGAAGGGCCACTCTCAAGCACAGCCGACCCTCCTCGTCCCGCCTCCACCCCGAAGTGCTGCCCCCGGTCATCGGACTTCGCGCGTCGCGCCCCGTGATGCGCGGTTACCTTCGCGCCCTCGCGCCCCTGACGCCGCCCCACGACCAGTCCAGTCCAGACCACGACGCGCCCAGGGAGAGGGAGGCCTCTGAGAGGCGCCGGGGGCGCCCAGGACAACTCGCCTGGGAATCGTTTCGAGATAACGATAAAGATCACCGACAACGATCACAACGATAACGATAACAACGAGAACGATCACCACGACAACGATCACAACGATCGTTGTGATCGTTGTGATCGTTGTGATCGTTGCGATCGCTGTCGTGGGCTGGCGGGGAACGCGCAGCGCCGATCATTGGGCAGCCTCCGCCCTCGGATGTGTGGGTATTTCGTTTGACTGGCTGCCGGGTAGTTTCACTTAGGGTGGGCTTCCACTTTGAGGGGGGGTCGCCGAACTGTCTGGGCGATTGGTGGGTGGCTATGTTGAGTGAGCGTGCTTGGTGTCTGCGTTGGGTAACTCTGTTAGGCCACTGCGTTCGGCGACTGTGCTGGTCGACTGTGTTCGGTGGCTGTATGTGAAGGAGTTTCGTGACTGTGTTGGGTGACTGTGTTGGGTGACCGTGTTGGGTGCCTGCGTCGGGCAACTCTGATGGGTGTCTGCGTTGGGTGACTGTTGGATGACTGTTGGGTGAGGGAGCGTGTGTGGTGGCGAGTGCAAGGTTCGAATGTGAGGTGCGATTGTGGGAGGAGTGTGCTGGGCGACCGTGCCCCAGAGACACACTCACACACAAGGCCTGCGCATTCCCTGTCCGTGGAGAGTGGGCTGACGGGGCCGAGATACCATGACTTTGTGCAGAGGGAATGATGATAGCATCAACATGCCATTTGGGAGGTCCGCGCGGCTTTCTTGGATCTGCGCTGAAAGCCTCCTCCCTGGCGCACAGATCGCAACAGAAGCGGCGCTGGAGGCGCAGCCAGCAGGGGGAGGCACCGATCCAAGAGGTCCGCGCGGAGCTTGCCAAATTTATGTTTACGCCGCTTGTTCTTCGTTGGGGGGGGAGCAAGCGGAGCCGAGATGGCCAAGTGGGGATGGGGATAGGCCAGTCGCTGCCGAAAGGGGGGGGGGCAAGCGACCTGGGCCCACACACCGAGGGCTGCAACAAGGTCTGGAACGAGAAGGTTCGTTTCGCATCAAGGACACGTCACCCGTGCCATTGATCTTTCTGCTCTTGAAATGTTCCAGCGGGGCCGCGCGAGCGAAATCGACCAACGAACCAGCGCGGTGACAGTCTCGAGCGGGTAGTAAGGGGAAGACACGGGCCCAAGAGGGGCCCTTTCGGCGCCTCTGGGGGCAAGCAGGGGCCCTAAAGGGCCCCGTTTGGGGTCCTTTTCTTCACTCCCCGATTTAGGTCGTCCCCAAGCGCTGATAAACGTGACAAGGATAACCCCTGGGGGGGGGATATACATCGTGCTGGATGGGCCTGGGTGCGTCGTCCTCACGGGCGCCTGCGTCTCAACGCAGTTGTAGAAACTAACATCGTGATTTCGTCTTTGCCACATTGCGAACGCTATGGGCCCGGCAGAAGGGCGCCGCCGTAAGAGCCGCGGCTCTGCGACATGTTGTTGATCGTGTCCTGCTGCGCCGCCGGCGTGGGCCCGAAGCCCTGCGGGCGCGCAAGGGTGCGGGCGGGCTTGCGCGGGCGCGCCGGGGGAGGCCCGAGGGCCACGTGAGGCAGGATCGATCGGCATCGAGTTGGGGAACCCGATCGCATCGGAACGTGCGTCGTGTCGGGCTGCATCGGCACGGACTCGAAATGGAATCGGATCGGCTGCGCCAAGGTGCGCAGCAGCGCCGTAAGGTCATCGGGCCGCATCGGATCGTCGGAGTATCGCATCGGAATCGAATCGGGTCGAGCGGGCCGAAGTCGATATCGAATCGAAGCGATTGGATCGAAATGGAGGAGGAAGAGGAAGAGATGGGTGGCGGTGGCCACTGCATCAGGGGAGGCGCGCAGACAATCCGCACCAAAGCACCGAGGAAGAGGAGGAAGAGGAAGGCCCTTCCCCTTCTTGTCCTCCTCCTCGATGGGGAGGCAGCTCCTCGTCCCCCTCGGGGAAGGGTCTACTTCTTTCCCTCCCCGCCCTCCCCCGAGGGAGGGGGATCGGAGGGCGGGCGAGGGGGGGGGGAGAGGGCCTCTGGGAACCGCCGCGGGGCCCCGGGAGCGTCAAACAACACAGGGTGATCAACTGGCCGTGGGGAAAAGGGTTCGGGACACGCGGGGGCTCCGTGCGGGGAAACTCCAGGAAGCATCCGACGTCTGGGGGGGGGGGAGAAGGCGGCGTTCACCAGGAGCGCCAGGAAGAGGGGTGGGTGGGTGCGCCCCGTGGCCCGAGGCACGTGCGCGGACGAGGGGGGGGGGTGCGGCGAGCGCGTGGAAGACGAGGGGGCCATGGCATCCGGGAGATGTCATGGCCCTGGCCACGAGTTCCCCCCCCCAGCGCCGATCCAAGAGGTCCGCGGGGGCCTTCAGAAGTCGATGTCTGAGAAGGTTTGTTTCTCTTATCGGAGGCAGGGGGTCGAGGAAAGAGCGTGATAACAAGGAAATGACGAGGAGGGAGATGGAATGGGGCAGGGGTGGACGGCGGGGACGTTGGTGCTTAATGTAGCTGTTTCACTTCGAGGCGTGGTGGGGGAGGCTTTGACGCTTCCAATCGCCTCGAAGATCGCCTAAGAGAGCCCCACGAGGGACACTGAAATACCCCAAGACTGCCCCAACGGTTTCCAAGAGCATCCCAAGAGTATCCTAAAAGACAGATTTGTCAGCCTCCAGAGCGAGGCAGCGCAAATTAGGCACCACCCTTTGTTTGACCGATGTCCTCCAAGATGCGGCCGCCAAGGCCACCAAGAGGGCCCCCAAGAAGGCCCCACGTGCTTCCGAAATTGCACCGGAAAGCCTCGAAGAGACGCCCGGACAAAAAGCTCCGCACTCATAACAATCGGCGGCGCGCCCCAGGGGGCAGTGCAGAGGGGGTGGGCCTTCTCCGAAGGCGGCGCAGCGCAACTTCTCAGCCCCTCCCGCCTTCTGATTCGGAGAAGGCTTGGGAAGCTTCTCAGATGACTGGAGGCCTTCTGAGCCCTCTGACAAGGCGCGCCGCCGAAACAAATCCACGCAGAGTGGGCGGGGTCGGCGGTCGTCGGTTGCGGGGGGCGAGTGGCAAGTCTGGAAGCAAAATATCGACATGCATCTAGATGAAACTGAGATGTTGTTTTCGCAGTTTCCGCGCTCTCGAGGAGAGGAGAGTTGGGGAAAGGAGCGCGCGTTGAGGTGGAGCGGTAGGAGGGGCAGCGGGAAGAGCAAGGGAGGGATAATGGAGCTAGAGAGCCATGAACCTACTCTGGATAAACGAAGGATGAATCGCCGTCAGGGCGCCCTAGCAGGTCCATAAGGGTTTTTCGAGGTCCTGTGGGGGAGTGGAAGATGTGGAGCGGGAGAGGAAGCGAGAGCGGGGAGGAATGTGCAATCGGGAAGTGGGGGAGGACCGGGAGGTGGCCAGGGGGAGGGGACGGGGGCGACAGAGGGAGAGGGGGGAGAAGATAGGAGGCGACGGACAACAAGAGCAGGGAGGGGAAGCAGTGGGCACAGAGTGAGGCGTAAGGAGGGCAGGGGAGGAGGGGAGGAGGGTTGCGCGCCTCCCCCAGCCAGGGAAGGCGGTGGGGGCAGGGGAACGGGGAGGGAGAACTGGGTGAAGGGCGAGGGGGCTGGGCGAGGGGGCTGGGCGAGGGGTGGAAGGGAGGCGAGAGGGGCAGCGAGAAGGGCAGGGGAGAGAAGGCGCGTGACGCTTAGGAAACCACATGGAATTTCACCGGGGTGTTCTTTGCCAACCCTCGAGCCCTCTTCGATCCTCATCGATTCTCGATCTTCCTCGATGATCCTCGATCATCAATCCTCCCCCTCCAGAAGGGGCCGCCACAGCGTCCATACCCGAGGCTGTCCGCCATCCGAGGCCACCTGGACGCTGAACGATGCAGCAACCGTCGGTACATGCGCGGTGGCCCCGCTCATGAGGCAACTCCTAGAAGGTCTTCGTGGGAACGGTTGAAGGCTGGCAAGCCCGATTAAGGCGCCATTCTAGCGGATCCGAGCCCAAGGTTTAGCCCAGGATGAAGCCCGATTAAGCTGGAACAAGAAGGGGTGAGCGGAATTGAGCGGGATGGATGGATGGATGGATGGATGGGGTGAGCGGAATTGAGCTGGATCAAGCCGATTTCGACCATGGATGGATGTGCCAGCGCCGGTGCTGAATCTAACCTCCCACGAGTTGCATTTCACAGGGGCCTCCTCTGCCAACCCTCAGACCCTGGCCCCGCTGCATCGTCCTCGTCGGAGGCCATCCGCTATCCGAGGCTACATGGACGCCAAACGATGCAGCAACTGTCGGGACATGCGCGGTGGCCCCCTCAGGAGGCAAGATTAGGCGCCATTGAGCCATATCTAAACCCAAGGTTAAGCCGAAGACCAAGATTCAGCCCGATTGCACCGGATTGAACCGAAGTAGGCTGGAATATGCTGGAATAGACCCGTTTCGCAAATGCTGCACTGGGGAGGGTGCGTCCTGACCACGATTTCGAGGCGAATCCAGCAGTGACGACGGTGAGGGGTAGCGGTGTGGGTACGTCCTCCGCTGATATTCAACTTCCCAGGAGTTCCATCCGAAGCCCACCCCCGCAGGGCTCCGCGCAGAGGGGGGCGAGCCTCGTCCTCCGACTCGTAGTCGTAGCCGGTGGCGACGCGCGCGTCTCCAGCGCCGCGGGGCAGTATCTCCACCCACTCCACGACCTGACGATCGGAGGAGGCCAGGACGGCGCCTTTCGGCGGCGCGCCCCAGGGGAGGAGGCAGAGGGGGGGAGCCTCCTCAGAAGCCTCAGACGGCGTTCGGCCTTCAGGGACGACTTCCACGCCATGTGCGAAGCCACAGAGGGCTTCTGAGAAGGCCTGTGCCCTCTCACGCCCACCCTCGGTGCGCCGCCGACTCTTCTGCGACGGAGGCGGCGACTACGGCAGCGGCAACGACGGCGACGCCGGCGGCAGCGATGACGGCGACGGCGGCGGTGACTAGAAACGACGGGGGAAGGTGAGGGCGGCGCCAGCAAAGCAAAGACCTATCGGAACCGATGCCTCTGCTTAGCGCGAGGACGGCGAACGACGAGAAGGAAAGAGGATACGGGGAGGAGGGGGTATTGGGATGGGGGAGAGGAGGGCGATGCCGGGAGGAGGCATGAGAGAGACTGAAAAGGGAGAAAGGGGAGAGGGATGGGGGGGGGGAGAAGGATAACAAGCAGGAGGGGGAGGCCGAGGGCCCACTGATGCGGTGCGGCCATCCTGTGGCCACTCGCCCGGGAGCGATCAGGGGGGCTTCGCCTGAATCGGCGCAGGGCCCCTCACGCCAGCGGAGGGGATGTTACAACCATCGAACGACCAACTCTCGAAGATTCAGGCTACCGTCAGCCCACGACTTCCCAAGAGGACTCCGAGATGGCCCCAAGACGCTCTCAAAATGACCCATCAGGACTTAGGACGGTCCGAGGAGGCCCCAATACGACCCTTTCAGATCCGCAAGACTCCTAAGATGGACATCGAAGGCGCCAGAATGCCCAAGAACACTCCAAAACAACCCGAGAAACTCCCAAGAGGCCTCGTGGGGCCCCAAAGATGCCCCCGAGAGACCTCCCAAAAGGCCCCCGGGAAGACCCGATGAGAGGAGGCGGGGCGGAAATTATAGGAGGAAGACGGCGAGAGACACCCCGACACGACGCGGAAACATGTGGTACACACACGCTACGACATCCCCAAGATTCGAGGCACGAGACGTTACACGGTTCGACCTTGTGTGCGCTCCTCGAACGGTCGCCAACCAGAGCGCTGGCCTGGCTTAATGGCAGGCCCCGACGGCTCTGGCCTCGATCAAGAAGCGGGACACTCATAATCAGCTCCCCGACAAGCGAAGCGGTGCAGTGAAAACATGCCAAAAAGATGAATCGAACAAAGCAGGGTGGTTCGGAAAACGCCCAAAGCCGTTTAGCGAATGCTAATGAAAATGTCGGGGTGCGTTTCCCTCCCTTGGAGCTTCCGTATGGGTTCCCGCACGGCGCACCACGGGCTGTTGTCCGTGGGCCCCCGATGTCGGCAACAGCCCCCAGAGGGCGTTGAACCTTCAGCGCCAGCGCTGTCGTCGGGGCCGCGTCGAGGCGAACGAGCCTGCCATGGGGATGGCAGCCCGTGCTGCCAGCTTGCACCGCCCCGTCTGCAGATATTCCTCGAGGCCCTGTGCAACGTTGGGCGCAAACCCACCCTCCCTCCTCGAACTCCCGCCTCCTCCCAACCTCGAGCTCTCCCTCTCCTGAGCAGCGAATGTTGCATGGTCCTCCGTGGGCATGCAGCATACACCGAATGAGGCAACGTACGATTTGGTGAACGTGGGGTGTGTGTGTGTGTGTGGCGAAACATATAACACATGGTGCAGCACAAGACGCAACACAATTATGTACAGCATGTGGTACACTATCTGAAGTGAAACGACGTGGTGAATCGTGGGCTGCCTGGTGCAACCTAGGGCGCAAAATGTGGCAGACAGAGCACGGTGCACCCAGTGACGCAACGGACGATCTGGTGCATTGCAGTGTGCCCAGAATATCCTCATGGCACAACTTACAGAACAATCGTAACACACAGACTGGGGTACACCCCCGCTGAGGCAATGAATGACTTGGTGGATCGCGAGGTGTCTGGCGCGACCTATGTTTCCCCCCACGGGGCCGAAACGTTTGAATTATCCCGGCAAAGCAACCTAACAGCGATGTGTAGGAGCATATCTGGAAGCATTCCCCTTAAGATTCGTATGAGAATCCAGTTGTAGAATTCTGCTGTTCTCGCAGTCGTAGTCGCATTCGCGATGACAGTCGCAGTGGCAACGGCAGTCGCAGTCACAGCCTCAGCCTCAGCCTGCCTCAGCCTCAGCCTCAGCCTCAGCCTCAGCCTCAGCCTCCTCAGCCTGCCTCAGCCTCAGCCTCAGCCTGCTTCAGCCTCAGCCTCAGTCTGCCTTCAGCCTCGGCCTCAGCCTCAGCCTGCCTCAGCCTCAGCCTGCAGCCTCAGCCTCAGCCTCAGCCTGCCTCAGCCTCAGCCTCAGCCTCAGCCTGCCTCAGCCTCAGCCTCAGCCTCAGCCTCAGCCTCAGCCTCTGCCTCAGGCCTCAGCCTCAGCCTCCTCAGCCTCAGCCTCAGCCTCAGCCTCAGCCTCAGCCTCAGCCTCAGCCTCTGCCTCAGCCTCAGCCTCACCTCAGCCTCACCTCAGCCTCAGCCTGCCCTCAGCCTCAGCCTCAGCCTGCCTCAGCCTCAGCCTCAGCCTGCTTCAGCCTCAGCCTCAGTCTGCCTTCAGCCTCGGCCTCAGCCTCAGCCTGCCTCAGCCTCAGCCTCAGCCTCAGCCTCAGCCTCAGCCTCAGCTCAGCCTCAGCCTCAGCCTCAGCCTCAGCCTCAGCCTTCAGCCTCAGCCTCAGCCTGCCTCAGCCTCAGCCTCAGCCTCCTCAGCCTCAGCCTGCCTCAGCCTCATCAGCCTGCCTCAGCCTCAGCCTCAGCCTCAGCCTGCCATCAGCCTCAGCCTCAGCCTCAGCCTGCATCAGCCTCAGCCTCAGCCTCAGCCTGCCTCAGCATCAGCCTCAGCCTCAGCCTCAGCCTCAGCCTCAGCCTCAGCCTCAGCCTCAGCCTGCTTCAGCCTCAGCCTCAGTCTGCCTTCAGCCTCGGCCTCAGCCTCAGCCTGCCTCAGCCTCAGCCTGCAGCCTCAGCCTCAGCCTCAGCCTCAGCCTGCCTCAGCCTCAGCCTCAGCCTCAGCCTCAGCCTCAGCCTGCCTCAGCCTCACCCTGCATCAGCCTCAGCCTCAGCCTCAGCCTGCCTCAGCCTCAGCCTGCATCAGCCTCAGCCTCAGCCTCAGCCTGCCTCAGCCTCATCAGCCCTCAGCCTCAGCCTCAGCCTCAGCCTCAGCCTCATCAGCCTCAGCCTCAGCCTCAGCCTCAGCCTCAGCCAAAGCCTCAGTCTGCCTTCAGCCTCGGCCTCAGCCTCAGCCTGCCTCAGCCTGCTCAGCTCAGCCTCAGCTCAGCCTCAGCTCAGCCTCAGCTTCTCAGCCTCAGTCTGCCTTCAGCCTCGGCCTCAGCCTCAGCCTGCCTCAGCCTCAGCCAGCCTCAGCCTCAGCCTCAGCCTGCCTCAGCATTCAAAATGTGGCCCGGGAATGGAATTCTGGGAACTCGAAGAACACGAAGTGGCCTACAGTTGGCTCCGGGCATTCAAAATCATGCCCAGGAATGGAGTTCTGGGAACTCGAAGACCACGAAGTGGCCTACAGTTGGCTCCGGGCATTCAAAATGTGGCCCGGGAATGGAGTTCTGGGAACTCGAAGACCACGAAGTGGCCTACAGTTGGCTCCGGGCATTCAGAATGTGGCCCGGGAATGGAGTTCTGTGAACTCGAAGAGCACGAAGTGGCCTACAGTTGGCTCCGGGCATTCACAATGTGGCCCGGGAATGGAGTTTTGGGAAGTCGAAGAGCACGAAGTGGCCTACAGTTGGCTTCGGGCATTCAGAATGTGGCCCGGGAATGGAGTTCTGGGAGGTCGAAGAGCACGAAGTGTGTGACTGTTTGCGAAACACGCATTCGGACACGAGTTCGGACACAGCTCCCCGGATGCCGCCCCGACTCCCCTGTGGAGTCATCTGCTGCTCTCTTTTGACCCCACTAGAAACCTATCAGCAAAAGCTGTTAGGTAAAAACCACGCTACGTGCCTGTGGAGGAGGACGCCCTCTGCGCCTCCTCCTTGGCCTGAACACGCAGGCTCAAAGCTCTCATCCTGTCAGTCTGGATGAGACCTGCCATGGCAGGCTGGCGCAAAGACACCTCCTCAGGAGGCGGAAGCGCGGCAGCGTAGCATATATTGGTGACTCCTCTCCGAGAAGACACCGTCACTTCCGCTGGAACATCGCGGGAGTGTGGCACAAATCCATCGTAAATTTTGTGCAGACTGGTCGCACCACTAGCTAGATTTCGCTGTTGGCACTCTCGTCCGAGCAATCGGCACCTTCGTGACGTCGTGACGTGTATGCTCCGCATACCGTGCAGAATAAAAGAAATCTTTCATCGGTGCCCTGGATCACAGTGCAGTGTGCCAGGGAATGACCGAGGGACAAATCAAGGGTTTTCTTCCAAATCTTGGGCATGCCTTTACATCCGAGCATCGGTCTAGAGCTGCTATCGTTCGAGAGGGTCAATAATCTGATACAAGGTGCACGTCCATGGCCGAGTTCATGTCACGCGTGCCAACCTCCCGATTTAAACAACTTGGCCCTCCGCACCCATCAACGAAAAATATGGCGCCGTTGACTGTTTGTTGCTGTTGCCTGCTGCTGGTTTCTGGAGCTGGCGGCAACCGGTCTCTGCTAGTGGCTGCAGGCTGCTGCCGCTTGCTGCTGCTCTGCAGGCTGCTGGCCGGTGCCTGCTGTTGCGTGCCGCTGTTGCTGCTGCTGCCACGGCGTTGACGTGCTCTACAAGGCAGACGAGAGCGACAAGCGACGGGCCTCCTCCATAACGCTCTCGCCAGAGTCCGAGGCTGCGCTGTCGTCGCTAGACGAAGACGAGGACGACTCTTTCTTTTTTTTCTTTTTATTTTTGCTCTTCTTGCCGTCCTGGCGCTGGGGTGCCGCAGAGCACATGTGACTCAATCGCCGCCCCTCCAACAAAGATGAGACACCACGGGACGGGAGTGAGGGAATGATGAGCGAGGATATCGTTCGTGTTACTCCTTATCCTTATCGTTCCTTTCCATGCTGCTCCGTACTCGTCCTCCTTCCATGCCGCCTCTTCGTCCCCCTACTCAATTTCCTCCTGAACAATCATCCTCCGCCGTCCCTCCTCCAACCTCATTGCTCCTCCTTACAGCCAGCATCCTACAGTGCTATCCCATATTCGCCCTCCCCCTACGGATGTTTCTCACGCTTCTGCTCACTTGTTTCCCCCACCCACCGCTGCCCATCATCCACCCACCAAATCCTCCTCCCCTGACACATCATCCTCGTCACGATACCCATCCTGCCCCCTAACTGTAATCTGCCTCTTCCTCATACGACTCATCCTCACATCACCATCACAATCACCATGACCACCACCACAACCACCACCATCATCATCATCATCATCATCATCATCAGCATCATCATCATCATCATCATCATCATCATCACCATCAACATCATCATCATCATCATCATCAGCATCATCATCATCATCATCATCACCATCAACATCATTATCATCATCAGCATCATCATCATCATCATCATCATAATCAGCATCATCATCATACTTAGCAGCATCATCATACTCATCCTCATCCTGGACCTCCTCCTTGACCTCCTCATCGCACCTTGCGCGCGGCATCTCGGAGCGTGGAGTTGGGAGGATGTCTCAGGCGACACCCAGACCCCTCCTAGAGCACAATCGAGCAACAGCAGTGCAATCAAATGTTCGTTTTGGTCTGACCCCTCCTCCCTCCTCCATTCTCTCCCTCTCCGAGCCCAGAGTAGCGAGGATGCCTCAGGAAAGCAAGCTGGACCACCTCGCGCGAAGCATCTCGAAGCCACAAATGATGCCGCAGGCGAAGCGGGCAGACCACCTTGCGAACATCTTGCCAGAGCCCAGAGTTGCGAGGATGTCTCAATCGAGACGCGCCAAACCACTTCGCGTGCGGCCTCTCGGAGCCCAGAGGCGCGATGATGTCTCAAGCGAAGTGGGCAGGACCACCTCTCGCGCGGCATCTCGGAGCCCCGAATTGAAAATATGTCTCGGGCGGAACGGTCCGGACCACCTCGCGCGCGGCATCTCGAAACCCACAGTTGTGAACATGGCTCAGGCACAACGCGGGAGACCACCTCTCGCGCGGCATCTCGGAGTTCAGAGCTGCGATGATGTCTCAAGCGAAATGCGCCAGAGCACCTCCCCCGCGGCATCTCGGATCTGAGAATGTCGAACATGTCTCAAGCGAAACGCCCAATCCCAGCCAAGACGGAAACAAGAGAGGTGAGGATGTCTTGGGTGAAACGGCCTGGACCACCAAACTCTCTTGAGTACGTCTCGTCGGGGGGGGCCCTCGGGCAGACTTAGCTTCTATCAAAACATCACCAAGACGGCCAAGACGGTCCAAGCTTGCCTCCAAGACGGCCCAAGACCCATGACGGCCCAAGGGGCCCTCAAGCCGGCCCCCAGAGGGCCCCAAGATGGCCCAAGAGACCTCCTGGACGGCCTGAAAGCGTCCCAAGAGGGCCTCAAGACGGCCCAATGCGACCTCAAAGACGGCCTCCGAAGACCAAGCGGCCCTGTCTAGGCCCCCAGGCCCCCCCCAAGGAGGCCCCCAAGAGGCCCTCAGATCCCCCGGATAGGCACTAACGAGGCCTCAGGAGGCCCTCAAGAAACCTGCTGCTCCTCCTCCTCCTCCTCCTCCTCCCTCCTCCTCCTCCTCCTCCTCCTCCTCCTCCTCTTCTTCCACCTGCTCCAGCTCCAGCTCCAGCTCCAGCTCCAGCTCCTCCTCCTCCCCCTCCTCCTCCTCCTCGTCCTTCTCCGCCTCCTCCTTCTCCGCCTCCTCCTCCTCCTCCTCCCACACAAATGCTCAATCTGAATACCACTTTCCCCCCACTCCGAAGACGTCCCGAGATTGGCGCGCCCCTCTCCGCATGTTTTTTACGCACAGATTGGTGCGACTTGACTGTTCTTCCGTGTTTGGTGCTCCCGCTGCATCGGGGACCTCGTTGCAGGATGGGAGCGTTGCTCCCGTCCTTCAGAATGGCGCATTGGCCCCAATGCGGGGCGCTCTTCTGGATCCGAGTCCTCTCTCAGAATCGTGGCCCCCCTCCTTTCCCCTCCTCCGCCGCCCCCTGGTCCTCCTGCACCTCTCACTCCTTCCGCATGAGGAGGAGGAAGACGAACAGCAGAAGCAGGAATTGGAGTGAAGTTCCACTCCAAGTCCTGCTGCTGCTGCTGCTGTTCATCCTCGCGCTCCTCCTTCCTTATCCTCCTCCTTTATATCTGGCTCAGCTTCCTGCTCATGCGCCACCTCATCATCCAGTGTGCGAAACTCCCCCACGATGAGATGCTTTTCGGAAAAGGCAGGGGGCGGCGGTGGTTCACCGTAGGCGCCTTCGACATACAACTGTGCAAAAAGGTACACGGACGGCGGATCCTTCTCAAAATGGGGCTCTTGCTTGAGACGAAGTTCGAGCTGCTGTCCAGAGGCTAGGCTTCTGCAACACGTACACGGATGGAGGTGAGCGCTTCCTATTGACAACGGGGCTTTCAATCACTGGGCATGTCCCTGACCTTAACGGCCTCACCGTGTCGCATTCCGTACAGCCCGAAGAATGGAAAACAATGTCTTTCATCGCGGAGCTCCCACCTGGTCTGTGTGCGCACGGAACACTCGTCTTTCAAGGGGGGAACTGGGAGCAGTGAAACCAAGGATGCTCACAGAGGCTGGTCAGGGGATTTGGGATGGGAGGGTGTTCTCGCGGTCACCTGCATTCGCGCGTCGCGCCCCGCGATGTGCGACATGCGATCTTCTTCGAACCCTCGCGCAACCCCCTTGGAAAAGGCTAACCGCTCTGGCCGAGATCGTGACGAGCGAAGCTCAACTATCTTCGAGACCCGGCGGCTGCCCCACGGCTTGCGGCATCTATGACGCACATCGGGTTCACTCCGGTACTCCTCCTCCTGCCCGTCCTTTCCGAGCCGCGCAGTCCTCGGCGCCGCTCTCCTGCTTCTCCGCCTTGACGTCCTCGCCCTCCGCCTTCACCTCCTTCGACTTCGCCTTCTTCTCCTTCTTGCCCTTCGCGGCCTCGCCGTCCTGCGTGGAGGCGAAGAGGAGCGGGACGAGGAAAGGGGCACGAATTAAGCAGGAGGGAGCGCTGCGATCAGCTGTGCCAGGTTGCACCTAACTTAAGTTTGGTACAACCTGGCACAGCTGATCGCAGCGCTCCCTCCAGCAATTACAGGTGGGATCCGAAATGACAAAACACAGCAGCAGATGGAATCAAGAGCGACCGCCCGCTCGAGATCGACTCACATGCACATGACTGGAGGCCAGCCGACTCACGGACAGGCGCGGCAGGAGGGCGTACGCCCTAGATGTAGGCTGGGGGTAGGCCCTTGGGGGAGGCCTAGGGTAGGCCTAGGGCGCTGGGGGTAGGCCTGGGGTAGGCCTAGGAGTAGGCCCTAGGGGTGGGCCTACGGGTAGACCCAAGGGGTCGGCTTATGATAGGCCGACCTCCGGGTTCTATAAGAGTTACGCACATCATGTAAATAACACACTACCCCTGATAAACCCCTGGCGATAATAAAGTTCGGGGTCTGGGGGGGATAGAAAGCGTTTTTCCCAGCGGAGGATGATGGTGATGATGATGGTGTTGATGATGATGATGATGCTGATGATGATGATGCTGATGATGGAGATGCTGATCATGATGATGATGATGATGATGATGATGATGATGATGATTATGATGATGCGAATGATGATGCTGATGATGATGCTGATGATGTGGATGATGATGAGGATGATGATGCTGATGATGATGATGAAGATGAAGATGATGATGATGATGATGATGATGATGATGATGATGATGATGATGATGATGATGATGATGATGATGATCCTGGGCGCTCGTGTAACTAGATCCTGGCACAGAACTGTCCTTGGTGTCCTCGAGTGTCCGTCCTCGGAAATGGCTGTGAAAATAATAATCCCATGGCCCTGTCGCACGTTCGTGACTTGGGAAATCTAAAATGGTGAGAACGCCATAGCCCTGCCACACGCTCGTGACTTGCGAAAGCTGACATGGTGAGACCTCCATTGCCATGCTCAGCGTTCTTGATGTTTCTAGTGAGCATCAGGAGATATCAACTTCGATTCGCAACGTCCCCCCGCGCTAATCAAGTTCGGCCTCGCCGCCCCTCTCCACCATCAAATCTTTCTGATTCGGGGAACATAACCACTCACGGGCTGACGGGGGGGGTACTCTTTATTATCCGGGGAACGGGGTTATTGACTGCTGTGTCCTGGAGGTCCAGAGAGATGTTAGCTAGCGTGGGCCCAAAGCTGTGAGGTATGACTCGAGCCCGCCGCCATGAGGACGATGATGAAGACGACGAGGAGAAGAAGGAAACAGGTAGGATTCGATGTTTCCAGCGATGGGGCACCCTTGCACGCAGCCTCAGTCTCGCCTGGCGGAGACGGGGGGCGAAGGGCAGCGCCTGCGCACCACGGAAGCGCCCTCCCAGCGCGCGCGAACGCTGGATGCGCCTCCAAGGTGGGGGGGTGTGAGCGGCGGCTTGCGGCGACAGAGGACCATGTAGCGGCGATGACCAGGGAAACAAACAGTGGCATACACAGGAAAACGCCGAGACCCGCGCGGATTCCTCGGATCGACGCTGGAGCCCCGTGGCGGCGTCTCCACCGCCGCCCTGGCGCGTTCCGCGCGCTAGGGAGGGGGGTCCAACGTCGCTCCGAGAAATCCGCGCGGACCTCCGACTTGTTCCCAACCATCCTGTGGTGTTGGATACTCGCTTTGGAGAGACAGCGCCCCGGGTTTCCTCGTATTTCCTCCTCCCTCCTTCCCTCCTCCCATCCTCATCATCATCATCATCAACATCATCAGCATCATCATCATAATCGTCACCATCGCCGTCATCATCATCATCATCATCAGCATCATCATCATCAGCATCATCAACATCATCACACGTTTCATTGCCCCATAGGGAGCTATACCGAAGTTCCCAATGGCGCCGTTGGCATGCGTCTGTCCCCCCCCCCAATACAGCGCTTCGTGGCCCCACGGGGAGCGCCACCGAGAACCCCCGTGGTGCAGTCCGCATGCGTCGCCCCCACCCAGCACAACGAGTTGTGGCCCCATAGGGGCTCCGTCGAAGGTCCATGTGGCACAGTCCGCATGCGTCCCCGCCACTCATTTTGCACACCCTCACACATTTTGTGGCCCCATGGGTTGTCCGCCGAAGGTCCCAGTGGCACAGTCCGCATGCGTCCCCGCCACTCATTTCGGCCCACCCCTCACACGCTTCGTGGCCCCATAGGAGCTCCGCCGGAAGTCCCAGTGGCACAGTCCGCATGCGTCCCCGCCACGCATTTCGGCACACCCCTCACACGTTTCGTTGCCACATAGGAGCTCCGCCGACGGTCCCAGCGGCACAGACCGCATGCGCCCCCGCCACTCATTCCGGCACACCCCTCAAAACGTTTCGTGGCCCCATAAGGGGCTCCGCCGAAGGCCCCAGTGGCACAGTCCGCATGCGTCCCCGCCACTCATGTCGGCGCTCCCCTCACACGTTTCGTGGCCCCACAGGAGCTCCGCCGAAGGTCCCAGTGGCAGAGTCCGCATGCGCCCCCGCCACTCATTTCGGCACACCTCTCACATGTTCCGTGGCCCCATAGGGGACTCTCCACCGAAGGCCCCCGTGGCACAGTTCGCATGCGTCCCCGGCCACTTAGGAGCTCCGCCGAAGGTCCCAATGGCACAGACCGCATGCGTCCCCGCCACTCATGTCGGCACACCCCTCACACGAAACGTGGCCCCATAGGAGCTCCGCCGAAGGTCCCCGTGGCACAATCCGCATGCGTCCCCGCTACTCACTTCGACACACCCCTCACACGTTTCGTGGCCCCCTGGGAGCTCCGCCGAAAGGCAGCACGCATGCGTCTCCCTCACCCAGTACAGCGCTTCGTGGCCCCAGATGGAAGGAGCCCCACCGAAGGCCCCCGTGGCGCAGCCCGCATGCGTCTCCCTCACCCAGTACATCGTTTCGTGGCCCCATATGGGACCCCGCCGAAGGTCCCCGTGGCGCAGCCCGCATGCGACTCTCTCACCCAGTACAACGTTTCGTGGCCCCATCGGGAACTACACTGAAAGTCCCCGTGGCGCATTCCGCATGCGGTTCCCCCACCCAGTACAGCGTGTCGTGGCCCCATAGGGAGCTCCACCGAAAGCCCCCGTGGCGCAGTCCGCATGCGTCTCCCCCGCCCAGTACACCTCCGTCTGAGGCCGTCGGAGTTCTGAGGAGGACGAACGGGGTGGGCTGCGGAGGAACGGAGGAAGGGGGGGAGGTCGGAGGAGGAGGAGGAGGAGGAGTGCGGAGTGAGGAGCAGACTCGGACGTTTGACTGCGCGGGCAAAGAGAGAGAGAGAGAGAGAGAGAGAGTAAACAAAGAGGAGGAAGCGGGCGCGATCCTCGCGGGGGGGCGCGCCGACATTGGCGTCGCGGCGCGCGGGCGATCCCGTCGGGAAGTCCCGGGGAAGCTCCTTGCGGCGGCCACGCCCAGCGTCACGAGTACTCAGGGGCAGTCATTCTCAAACTATTGACAATCATATTAAATTACACCATGCTTTGTGATACTCGCATTCATGCACGTAGACTCGCTCGCACGCAGATTCATCACAGTCAGACGCACTCGTGCTCATATTCACCCGCGCTCAGTCTCCCTACGTACTCAGATCAATCGTTTTCGTTCGCGTCGTGTACCACGCCACTCATTTCGGCACACCCCTAGCACGGTTCGTTGCCTCATAAGGATCACCACCGAAAAAGTGACTCACAATTGCGGTGCTCACACCTGCATATGGTTGGGTCCTTCGTCAGGCTTCGTCAAGCTAAGTGTTTTTTGTCATGGCGTGTTCCCCGAATCATGTGGAAGGCAGGGAAGCGGTCTCGTCAGGCCGAAAAAGGCTAAATGTGAGGATGGAGTCGGGCCCCGGCTACTGGTCGCCAACCGTGAGCTAGTTGCACGCGGTTCCAAGGCGCATGCACTCTGAGGGCTTGTGCCTGAGGGGCCCGAGCGCCCCAAACTCCCGACTGTAATCCTCACAGCTTAAAGGGTACTGCTCAAAGCAGCTGAAGACTCTCAATTCGGAGTGTAGGCGCCCCGCGGCGCATGGCGCGAAGGCCCTCGCGAGGCTTGCGCAAGGGCTCACGCCAAAGGTGGCCGGCAAAGGCGTTCCGACCCATCGGCCCCTTCCGTGAGTGAGGGGCGTTGATGTCGGTGTGGGGGCTGGACATCAGACCTAAGTATCTTGGCGCTTCGGGAAGGAAGGGAGCATGGGGAGGAGGGGGGTGGGACGTTGGAGGAGGGACAGGAGGAAAGAGGAGACCGAAGTCCTTCTCCTCCTGCTCCTCCTTGACGACCGGCTTTTCATCGTGCTCCTCCTTCGTCACAGGAGGCGCCTTCATCTCCACATCGGCTTTGCCTTCCTCTTTCTCTGGTTTGTCTTTCTTCTCCTTCTTGTCCTCTTCGTCGTCGGACTTGGCATTGCCCTTCTCCTTCTTCTCCTTCTTCTGTTTCTTCTCGCCCTCGTCGTCGGACTCTGCCTTGCCCTTTTTCTTGTCCTTCTTTTCCTTCTTATCGTCCTCGTCGTCGGACTTAGCCTTGCCCTTATCCTTTTTCTCCTTCTTGTCTTTCTTCGCATCGCCCTTAATCGCCTTCTTCAGCCCGGCCTGTCGGCGATGACGGAAGTGGGTTAGGAATGGGAGGTTAACGGACCAGCCACACGTCCTTGGTTTTGCAGGCGCGGGAATGCGCTGGGTGCGACCATGTATCGAGGGACGCCACGGGCAGCGGGACTGAAACCAGCTGCGCCCATCACTTTCGCGTACACACACAATCACAGATACATGCGCGCACAAACACACACACACACATAAACAGACACACACAGAAACAGACACACACAGACAGACACAAAAACACACACACACACAAACAAACACCAGGAAAAGTGGAACGTCAGCAATCCCCCTCCTGGCACCTTCCTCAGGATCGGCACTCTGGCAACGAGCTGCAGGCGGATCTGGCCGCCGCGGCGGGGAGCCGCTCGGATGCACATAATACAGGGGGGGTGGGGGGAACATCACACAGCACGAAACACTTCATTCGGAGTCGATCGAGAAATCCCGACTCCCATCGAGTAAGCCGCCGTACCTGCTCCGCCTAGGTGGGAATCGGTGCCGTCTCCCTCTGGCTTCGCAGCATCCGTGACGTACCCTGGGAGAGCCACCATACTCTTTCCAAGCAAGGATTGGGATGATTGGCGCGATGATGACTCGCAGAAGAATCGACCTGGAATCGGCGATACGTCGCGGATCGATCAGTGACAGGCTCCCGATAGCGAATGCGCACGTTCTTTGGACGGGCGGGTTATCAACCCACTGAGCCTACCTTCATTCACGTTGCTCCAACCAGAAGGAGGGGGGTTCGCTGGAAGAGTAACCTCACTCCTTCCAAGCTAGAGTTGGGATGTTCTGACGACGATGGCTCGCATTCCTGGAGGCCTCCCACATTGGGTTCGAGTGGATGGGGTGGGCGGATCGCGCCGCATCGCCAATGCATCGCCGATGTATCGGCCACTTTGGCGATGCATCGGCGCGGCCAGCGTGGAGAAAATCGGGCTCCATATCGCGCCACATCGCCGATGCATCGGCGATGCGACGCGCAGACCCAATGTGGGAGGCCTGGACAATCACCCGCTTGTCGTTGCCACCCATAGCTCGGCTCTCCAGCGGCCGTTCGGAACAATGCGCGCCACCCCGGAACGCTCTCGGCGTGGCGCAGCTGCTGGAAAGCCTGTCCATGCTGGAAGACCGCCGAGAACCGACGAACGCGTCCGAAACCGTAACCTCGAACCCAGAACTTCCAATTTGGGAGGCCCGGAACCTCGAATCGCACCCCCCAGAGCCTGGAACTTGTTGTTGCGCGCCTCCTCCTCTGCGGTCAGCGGCACCTGCTCCGGGGCCTTCTCCGGCTGCTGCGATTCGCCTTCGGGCACCGCCTTGCGCTGCGGGCTCGGGGATCTTGGGAGAGCGAAAACAGCATCAACGACATGTCCTCCTCCTCCTCCTCCTCCTCCTCCTCCTCCTCCTCCTCTAGACCACTACGTGGTACAGCTTGTTCCTGCTCCTGCTCCTGCTCCTCCTCCTCAAGAGGGGTGGGGATGGGGCTCCGCCCAGAGGAGCCATCCGCCCTCAGCATCCGCCACGGGGAGCCCATCAGCGCGTCAATGTTGAGGGAAACGCCACGCGTTCCAAGCAAGGACTGATGAGCAGCACGCCGACGGGCTCCCGACGGATGCGTGCCGCCGATGCTCCTTTCCCCGCCCGATCCTCGGGAAAATGTCCGTGGACTTGAACGGGGCCTTCTTCCGCTGCTCCGAGCGCTGCAGGAGCCAGGACTCGTCCACCTCCGCCCTGTAGGTGTCCTCCCTGTTGTCCCGGACCGTGCTCCTGGGCACGGCCGGCGGTGCGGAGCGGCCCACAAGGGGGCCTGCGCATGCCTGGCTCGGCTGCGAGCCAGGGGGGGAGTGAGAGGGGGCGGGCCTTCTCAGAAGGCTCGGAAAACAACCCCCGGTCTTCTGAGAAGTCTTCGACGCCTTCCCAGAAGACACGACCAACTCCTCAGAAGGCGCGGGGGCTTCTGAGAAGTCCCGCCACCTTCTGGCAAGGCTTTCTCCTTCTCTCCTCCCCCCCTTGCTCGCCCTGCCAACGCCTGGCGGTCTTGCGCCCTGCTCCCCCTCCCGAGGCAACTGACCACCTCGCCGATCCTGGGCCTGGGATCGGCGTCCACGCCTCCGCAGCCGAGCCACAGGAAGGCGTGTGTGTGCACTGAAACAAGGGGCAGGACCGGGATTCGATCGGGCCTTTCTGAGATCCAGCGGCTTTGAAGGATGTGTCGAGCTCCGCGGCCATCTAGCTCAGAGCGTTCTGGAACGCCCTGGAGCCATCTGTCCCGAACCTCGGCCCGATTCGCGCACAACGATCCTGGGCCCAAGATAGGCGGGGCTAGGATTGGTCAGTCGGACGCCCCCCGAGCGCATGCCACCCCGTGTCCTGGGTCGCCAAGCTTCGCGCGCCGCACGGCCGAGGCGCGAGGCGCGATCATCTTCACGCATCTTGTGAGTGGCCGAGTCGTCCAGCCCCTATGTTCGATAATGCTCGGGCCGTTTGCTGCAGTCGTCGTGCTATCACGAGGAACGCCAGATGAGGAACGACAGGGATCTGTCTGGCCACTGCGAGCCTCGGCGGTGTCAGCAGGGCCGACACGGGCTGCGTGCTGTCGGCGGAGCTGAACAAGGTAAACACAGACTGGGCTAAACGAAAGCGAGCCAGATGCGACAACGGCGGCTCCTGCCTGGCACAAACCTGCTCGACATCGACCCCCGACCGTACCCAGGGGCCATCCTGACCCATTTTTCGCGAAGCGGATCGAGCCGTGGCTACGAGAAGCCCCCAGTAGACAAAACAGTGGAAAACGCCACAGAGTGCCGCCGTTGACTCGACGGGCCCTCCTCCGACACGCGGCTACCACACGTCGAAAGGATCATCGGGTCGGCTCCGATCAGGGGTGAGACCCTAAGCAGGAGTGACCTTTGATGCGCGGCTCTAGGTGGGCTGCGGGGTCTGCGGGGGGGGGGACCAATCCAAGCGCGCAAGCCTGTGCTGGGGGGGACCCCTGTGAACCCGCACCAGAGGTCACCCCAGTGAAGGGTCACCCTTCAGCGTAGATCGCCCCTCGTCGGCTCCCACCATCAAATGGCCACCGTTCGATTAGACAAAGGAAACATGCACACTTGCCATGCTCAGAGGCCCGTGCGGATTTCTCAGATCCGCGCTCGACCCACCTCTGGCGCGCGGAACGCGCCAAGGGCGCTGCCAGAGACGCGGCCAGGGGCCCGAGCCGATCCACAAAATCCACGTGGAGCTCCGAAACTTATGTTTACAGCCAACCCGTAGAATGAGGACGCAAGATAAGGATGCAAGGGCCTTGGAAGGCCATGTCGACACTTTGCGAGCGGGGCGCGGCCAGCGAAAATGGCCAAGGGTAGGCCGCAGGGGAAGGATGCAAGGGGAAAGTTGCTCACCCTTACGAGTTGACTGTATGCAGCTTCCTATTCTTCGACCGACATCTGCCCGCACCTCGTCGGCTCCTCACCGGGGAAAGCTGCCTCGGCGGCGTACGCCGCCTCGGCGACGGCGGCCGCCTCGGCGGCGACGGCGACGGCGCCCGCACTGGCGACGGCCGCCGCTTCGGAGGCGGGCGCGGCGGGGGCGAGGGCGACGGGGTGAGGCTAACCTTGCGCCGAAGGCACCCAGACACCACGGCACGGCCAGGGGCATCCTGGGCCCTGCAAATGGGAGAGAAGCGAGACAACTCGCCAGCCCCACCGGTCAGAGGCGTGCCAAGATCCCCGGTAATAAGTCAACCATTGGTCTAATTCGCGCGCGCGGGGCGGCCTCTGGGGGTCCTCAAGCGAAAAGCATCCTGGGCGCCACCTGGCCAACTCCTAGACAGGTCCCGGTCACGGATGTTGGAATTCCTGGGAGCGGTCTTCAAGGCCCTCCAGAGCGCGCCAGGAGCGCCCCGAGGGACCTCAAGGGACGCAAAATATACGTAAAACGGGGAATGGGGGGAAGGACCACGGTGAAGGAGGAAAGAAAAAAGGAAAAACAAAAACAGGGCAGCTGGACAGTGCGACGGGAAAAATTGCCCAGGCGCCTCTGGATATATGAGATTAAAGGACAATTCTCACGGGTGGCCTCTGAGCGTAAGCGGAGGGGGGGATTATATATGACAGTAAGCTTAGGATACATTACATTGTACGAGGCGTGGTAGGGGCCTAAAGACAAGGGAGCTCCAAGGCGTCATTCGAGTCGGGATCCATGGGTGGGCATGAGATCCGATGGTCACATATGCTTCGAGAGGCTCCCAACCCAACAAATTATCCTGGCGAAGGTCCCAACCATATGCAGTTGTGGGTACCGTAATTGTGAATATCTGCTTCGGTGAAGCTCCCTATGGGGCCACGAAGCGCTGCACTGGGCGGGGGGGAACGCTGTACTGTGTGGGTGGTGTGCCGAGTTTGGTTTCGGGACTCATGGGCATTGACGGTTTCCACTGAGGGCAATCGGTGGAGCTCCCTATGGGATCCACGAAAAAAAAACAAAAAAAAAAAAAAAAAAAAAAAACAAGAAACAAAACAAAAGAAAAAAAATAAAAAAAAAAAAAAAAAAAAAAAAAACAAAAAAAAAAAAAAAAAAAAAAAAAAAAAAAAAAAAAAAAAAAAAAAAAAAGAAAAAAAAAAAAAAAAAAAAAAAAAAAAAAAAAAAAAAAAAAAAAAAAAAAAAAAAAAAAAAAAAAAAAAAAAAAAAACAAAAACACAAAAAAACAAAAAAAAAAAAAAAAAGCGCCTCATACTGAGTGAGCGAAATTGCCAATTTGGTTCCCGGGACGCATGCGGACGGTCCCACTGGGGGCTTCGGTGGAGCCCCCTATGGGGCCACGAAACGCTGCACTGCACGGGTGAAAATGCCAAATTACATTTCCCCGACGCATAAGGACGGTGGCACTGGGGCCTTGGGTGGAGCCCCACGTGGGACCACGAAACGCTGCAATGTGTGGGTGAAAATGACAAATTGGGCTTCCGGGGCGCATGCGGACGGGGGCACTGGGGCCTTCGGTGGAGCTCCCTGTGGGACCACGAAACGCTGTACTGGGTGTGCGGGGCGCATGCGGACGGTAGCGCTGGGACCTTCGGTGGGGCTCCCTATGGGGCCACGAAACGCTGTACTGGGCGTGCGGGTCGCATGTGGACGGTAGCACTGGGACCTTCGGTGGGGCTCCGGGGCCACGAAACGCTGTACTGGGTGGGTGAAACGCAGGGAGGAGGGGGAGGGCCACGAAACGCTGTACTGGGTGTGCGGGACGCATGCGGACGGTAGCGGTGGGACCTTCGGTGGAGCTCGCTATGGGGCCAAGAAACGCTGTACTGGGCGTGAGGGGCACATGCGGACGGTAGCACTGGGACCTTCGGTGGGGCTCCCTATGGGGCCACGAAGCGCTGCTGAGCAGGTGAAACGCAGGGAGGAGGGACGAAACGCTGTACTGGGTGTGCGGGACGCATGCGGACGGTAGAACTGGGACCTTCGGTGGAGCTCCCTGTGGGGCCACAAAGCGCTGTACTGGGTGTGCGGGACGCATGCGGGCGTTGGAGAGGAGGAGGGGGCAGAGGAGGGGAGAACGCGGGGACCGTCTCTTCAAAACGAGGACCCAACACCACAGGATGGTTGGGAAAAATCGATGTCGCTCAAATGTCTGACAGATCTTGGCTTTACCGCCTTTCCATGTTTCCAACTATCCAAGACTGCCCATTCAGCCCGCACGATTGCCACACTTCAGGCAAAGAGAAACCCCCAGAACGGCCAGGCGGCCCAAGAGGGCCCCAAAACGGCCTAACAGGCCAGAACCCGCGCTGAGATTTCGAGCCCTTACCCCACAGATGCCCCCCCACCCCCCACACATCGCCATTGAGCCCCAAAGAGGGCCTCAAAAGACCACCAAGAGGCCCCCGAGAGGCCCCCAGAAGCCCCCAAGACCCCCCCAAAGAGGCCCCAAGAGGCCCGCGAGGTGCCCTCGAGATGCCCCAAGAGGCTACACGAAGATGCCACCGCGAGCACGCGGGCAAGTGCCAACGATGATGCAATGAGCCCCCGAGGTGCTCCCAGGACGGCCCAAAGAGGGGGGACAGGAACAGACACTTCAAGCCCTCTGCCCCGAAACGCCTGTCTGCCTACGCAACAATTCAAGGACACCACCACTTATCAACGCCGCAATGGCAACGGACACGAGGGCAAAAGCCCACGATGAAATAGCCTGGGCCGTCGGAATGAGCGAATAGGCTGGATAATAAACACGGACGTTGGAAGGCCCGCGGAGCGCGCGAAGAGCGGCGCCGAAGGTGCCACCAGCGGAGGCCCAGCGCCGATCCAAGAAGTCTAAGAGGACATACGAAACTTGACACTTCTGCTTTTTATTGGCGGCGCGCACAAGGGGGTGAAGGGAGGGAGGGCTTCTTAGAAGGAAGCTGCTCCTCAGAAGGCGGCGGCCCCGTATCTACAGATAAGGCCCGCGACTTCTAAGAAGCATGGGTGCTTCTAAGAAGCCCTCCCCCTTCCCTCACCCCCCTCTGCGCGTGGGTGAGTTTTGACCTCTTCGAAGGATGCCCCTGACCCCTTTTCGCTGCAGATCCCTGGGGATGGCCTTCGCTCCGGATCCACGCTTGATGACCCCGGGGCCGCAGGCGGGCCCGGGCCGGGGCCCCAGAGGCCGAAATCGAAAAAGAGACGCCCACATCGAAACCAGCATGTCGTCGGAAATCTGGATGCACGGCGAACACCTCCCACGACTGAGCATCGTTTAACCGATCCCCATCCCCAGCGGTGTGGCCTGGGCCCCACTGGCCGATTTACCCCCCTAGATGGGGATATAGGCCGTTCCCTTCGGATTTCGAAGGGTGCATCCCCAACTGGGGTGGTAATTTGGTGGGGGTCTCGAAGGGGATCAGGATGGGGATGGGGGTCGGTCAAACGATACTGAAGGATGGCCCTGGCACGGCACGGTGGTGTAAATAGATGCCTTCCGCGGGAACCTTGCGAGGGCTGCGAGGCTTCTGCCGCCAGCCCCTGGATGGCGACCGCGAGGCCTTCCGCTTGGCGCGGCCTCCGCTGCTGGACGACCGCGAGGCGGCCTCAGGGCAGCACCACAGCAAGGGGACATCGGGATTCGCTCGGCCCGTGGTGACCAGGCGAGGCAGACTAGGAGAGAACTGCTGGGAGGTCCTCGTAAGAACGAGTAAGGGCTAGCAATCCCGATCAAGGGGGGCCGTCGAGCCAGAGCAGCCAAGATTAAGCTAGGAGCACTCAGGACTACGCTGGATCATGCAGGACGACACTGGACTCGGCCGGATGAAGCGGGACTGTAGGTCTGTCTTCGACCACCGAAATACCAGCATTGATGCTAACTTAAACCTCCCTCGAATTGCAACCGAGGGTGTAGTAGGGAAGAATACACACGAGGTGCGCTGCACCCCATCACGCACCCTCCGCAAAAGGGTCTTGGATCGAGACACGCGGGACGGCGTCCAGCTCAGGTGAGATATTTTTCTGGGCGAGACGAGCCAGGGAAAGATGAGATCGGGAGCGACAAGAACAAGAAGAAGAGCAGGAAGAGTGGGAGAGCGGGGGTCGACGACTGCCACGGATACGACGGCGGCGGGGGGTGACGGCGACGACGTGGGCAAGTGCTGCGGCAACGGCGGCGACGACGACAGCGACGGCGGCAACGACGGTAGCGCCAACGACAACAACGACAACAACGGAGAAGACGGAGACGGCGATCGAATCACTCCCTACCGCCATGATTTCCGCAAGCATGGTCCCAAAAACTGAAGACCCGGTTATCCTGGAACACAGAACCTTCCGAGCGCCGCAAATCTTATCTGAAGCTCAAGACAGACAACAGAATTGTCAGGGCGCCTCCCGAGGCTGCCAGAAGTCTCTGGATGTCCCCATAAGTTCAAAACCTATACAGAACCCACAAAATCCTCGGCCTGCAGGTCACAAGACACCCAGATGGAGGCCGCCCATACAGAGTCCAGGTAGATAGGGTGGAAGGAACGAACCACATCGCCGATGCATCGGCGACGCCAGGACGGAGAAAATCAGGATCCGAATTGGCCCGCATCGCCAATGCATCGGTGACGCGGTGCTAGCAACTGACCCCACTTGGGCGGCTTAGACAACAACAACGCCCCATGATGTTTGCCCTCGGTGTCTCAAGACCCGTGCACGATGGAAGAACAACAGATACTTACCGATACCGCTATTCCCCAGACCTCTCCCAAAGAAGGGGTGTCCTGACCAGGATTTCGAGGCGATTCCAGCCGCGGCGAAGGAGTGCCCTCCAAGACGAGCAGCGGTAGTGGTACCTCAGACTTGTCCTCCTCTGAGAAGACGCTTGTCCAGGAGCCGCGGCCTTCTTCGCCTTCGTCTTCTTGGGCCGCTTGTCGCGCGACCTGCCGAGGGGCAACGTTAGGGGGGGTCCCGCTGAGAGGGAGGGGGGAGGAAACATCGACGTGGGATCGGAAGTACATCACCGACAGATCGGCGATAGGCTCCCGATGGCAAAACCGCACTTTCCTGGGCAGGGCGGGCTATCAGGTCCCGATCGATGCGTCCCCTCCTGATGGGGGATTGCTGGAAGTTCCCCTGGCCCTAGGTGCCCCCCAGGATTTAAGGAGGCCCCCGCGACCTCCAGAGCGCCCCTCACGAGGCCCTGAGGGCCCCCAGGGCTCCACAATCAAGCGAAAAGCTGAGAGCACCTTGCAGCTTGGGCCAGGGGCACCTTGAGCAACCAGGAAAAACGGCAGAAACATAAACTTTTGGCGCTCGGCGCGGATTTCTTGGATCTGCATTGGGCCCCCCTCCCTGGCGCGCGGAGCGCGCCAGGGGCGGCGCCGGAGCGCGCCGCCAGGGGGGCCCAGCGCGGATCCGACAAATCCGCGCGGAGCGCTGAAAAATTATGTTTCTGCCGTTTTTTCTTCTTCGAGCCCCTAGGCTGTCCCAGACCTGCTCCGCGACGCCGCGGTCATCGGTGCCGGGGGCCCGCTGCCGCCAGCGCGAGCCCGCGGGGGAGCCCGCCCGCCCCTCTCCCCTGCAGGGGGGCGGCAAGGCCCAGGGACCGGACCTCGAGCCATACCCGGGCAGCATGGGATCAGCTGGTGGGCTTGTTTTCCACCACCAACACCATACGGAGGTGGAGGGGGTCCTCCTCCTCCTCCTCCTCTTCCTCTTCCTCCTCCTCGTCCTCCACTTCCCTCCCCCCTCCGACGTATGGTGGTGGTGGTGGTGGTGGTGGTGGTGGTGGTGGTGGAAAACAGGCCCAATCATCAGCCCGCATCACATCAGGGAAATCGGGTCGGGAACGCTCGTGTGTTGGAGGATGACCAACCTACCAGGCCACCCCAACCCAACACGAAGGCCCGAATTGCGGGTTAGGGGGGGAAGTTTTTCCAGAGTGTTCCCCGACCCCCCCCCCCACTGGGAAAGGAGGGCAAATTGGGGCCGTCGGGCTGGGTTGGGGTGGTTGGTGCATGTTGGAAAAGGAAGAGTGGGAGCGCGAGCGCAAATCTTCATCAAACCTGGCGTCAACTGAAATGCGAATGAATCAGTCGCCAAGCAACCGCATGCATCACACACGCCGAACTGCAATAAGCAAACTTATGCAGCGAACCGTGGCCTGATGGACCCGATCGGATCGGAAAGTGCGTCGGATCGGGCCGCATCGGCACGGAGTCGGGACCAAGTCGAGTGCGCCACGCCCGCACGCACAGCTGAGCTGCGCGAGTCGGGCCGTATCGGAGTTCTTGAGTCAGCGCTGGACGTCCCTGGCGCACTAGGTTCGGCGGTTGGACCCGCAAACATGACGGCCGCGACTCCCTCGCGCGAACCGAAAACGGCCAATTCGCTAATCGACGTGTCAGGGTAGGTCTATCAACCTCCGATAGGTAGGGGGCCCAGCGCCGAACAAGGACACCCGCGTGGACCTCGGATGTCCGCGCTCAGGGGAAGAGGTAGCAGGGGCGGGCATTCTCAGAAGGCTCAGAAGGCCTCTGGCCTTCTGAGAGGCTTTCGTAGAGGGCAAAACATTCACCCCCATAATGATCACCACCGACACGCGAAGCCGTTTAGCAAAACGCACCCCAAAAAGGAGTGAAACAAAGCATGGCTGTTTGATAAACGCCCAAGGCCGTTCAGAAAAAGCCAATTGTCCGGTCCGGGTGGTTTCTCCTCCCTTGACAGCGCAGATCAAGGACACCCGCGTGGACCTCGGACGTCAGCGCCCAGGGGAAGAGGCAGCAGGGGCGGGCATTCTCAGGAGGCTCAGAAGGCCTCGGGCCTTCTGAGAGGCCTTCTGAGAGGGCAGAACATCCACCGCCAGAATGATCACCAGCCGTTTAGTAAACGCACCCACGGAAGGAACCGAACAGGACTGGGCTGTTAGGAAACGCCCTGGGCATGTTAGTAAACGCCCATTGTCCGGTCCGGGTGTTTTTTCCTCCCCTGATAGAAGGGGCGGGCATTCTCAGAAGGCTCAGAAGACCTCTGGCCTTCTGAGAGGCTTTCTGAATCTTGTGCGAAGCCACAGAGGGCTCCTCAGAAGGCGCGGGGGCCTCTGAGAAACCCCGCCGCCCACCGAGAAGGCCTCTCCTCTCGGTCCCCCTCCATCGGCGCGCCGCACCATCATGACGTGACCGATTTCTGTGTGGACCTCGCGAGGGAAGGGCAGCGAAGGGACGGAGAATGGGGAAACCGGACGGTACTGATACCGCTACTCCACGGGCCTCTCCCAGGTGATTCCTGACCAAGATTTCGAGGCGAATCCAGGAGACGCGACGAGGGCCTCCCAGGAGGCCGAAAAAGGCGAACACGAGGCAGGGATAGCGGCATTGGTACCTTTTTCGTCCTCTGAGGAGCGCCTCGGCCCCTCAGAGGTGCGAGCAGGCGCGCGCGGCACGGCGGGTGCACGCGCGCGGCGCGGTCTCGGCGGGCTCGGCGGAGGGCGCGCCCATCGATCGCGTGACGGCAGCGACGCCGCCGTTCGGGCCGCTGACTAGCATGTTGCCCCCCTCGGCCTGGCGGCAAGCGCCGGGGAGACGGCGGGGGCGGGCTTCACGGCGACGCCGCCGACGACGAGGACATCGGGCGGGGACGGCGACGACGAGGACGGCGGCGAGGCCAGACAACGGCGGCCCTCATTGGCATGTCTGGTAATGTCCTGGACTCCCGGGAGGTCCTCGTCACCACGGCTGGACCCACCTCGCACAGACGGGTCAGGATGGACCCAAGGAGGGGTCGAGGGACCGACTTTGACAGACTTTTGCGGGGGCCATGGCCGGGGGGGACAACTTTCGGGCCCGTCCCGGGCCAGCAAGCGCGGGCCCTGCCGCGAGGGCGCCGCTCCCAGACGGCAGGCTCGTGCCGCCGCAGCGCGGTGGCGGCGGCGGCGGCAGACGCTGGGGGCTCGGCGCTGGGGGCTGGCGCCGCTCCCACCCCTCAGTTCGGGTCGGGCGACAAGGGGCTTCGGAGTGCCCCCCGGGCCAGCTCACCCGCAGCACGGGTACATCCCTCCATCTGTCCTGCTCCTGCTGCTGCCGCTCCTCCTCGGGCTGCTCGTCGCGCCGCTTCCTGCTGCTCCGACGCTGCTACCTGCTGCTCCCACGGGGGGAGCGCCGCTCTCCTGTCTCTCCTGCTACGCTTCCTCCTCCTCCTCTGAGGGTGGATGGCGGGGGGGGGGCCAGCACGGGGGGAGGAGGGAACATCGAGCTGGAATAGGGGATGCACCGCCAGTAGATCGGCGACAGGGCCCCGATAGCGAATCCGCCCGTTCCTTGGCTAGTAGGCTATGAGGCGCCCTGTCGGTGACCTGTGGGCGATTGGAATTTGATGCGAACCCCAATACGTAATCCAGACGTACTCCCTCCGTTCCCCTCCTCAGGGGCTGCCAAACGTAAAACAACACAGGACCGTCGCGTCGGTTCCCTTCCTGCTGCTGCTCCTCCTCCTCCTCCTCCTCCTCCTCCTCCTCGGCAGTCGGCGGCAGAGACGACGACGACGAAGACGACGACGACGACAACGACGGCGGCGGCGGCGACGACGGCGGCCGCGGCGGCGGCGGCGACCTTGACGACGACGACGACGACGACGACGACGAGGACGACGAGGATGCTGCTGCGATCCCCCGACGGGGAGCCTGAAACACGACGCCTCCGTTCTCCATCAAATACTTTCTCTCATCGGGCAGGTCGCATCGGCCCTGAGTATGTGGGGGGGGCGGGGGAGGGCTGGAGCCGCAACAGGGAAGGGCAACAGGACGGGAAAGAGTGAGATGCAAAGCGCACTACATCCGACGCCTCGAACAAACACGACGCACTTGTGGCTGAGTTCTCGACCCCCGGAGGCCGCTTATCGGCCCGTGGAACCGATGATCCAGATGGTCCAGGCCTGCGGGACCTGATGATTCGGGGCTCTGGGGACCACGTCTTACGAAATGACGGCATCGGAAGTCAAGGGGGGGAGCAGGCAGGGCTGAGGAGGCAAGAAGGCGAAGGAAAGTGCAGGGAGATGAGGGCAAGAAAGGAGAAGGAAACGGTGGAGAGCAAACAATGACAGAACGCGTGATAACGGAGCAAGGAGGAGCCCTTAAGAATCAATGGACATGCAGACGTAGGTAGGGGGAGGCAAGAGGGAAGGTTGTTGTGGATCGATCTCAACGCAAATGCAATTAGAAGAGATCGCTTCCGTCGGATTGAGGGTCGGAATCCTCGTCCGACACATATCGACGGGCTTTGTTCTTCGAGAGCCTGGACACGCGGCAGGTCGCCCTCGAGCAAACCAAAGCTTGCAGCACTGTCTCCCTCGGCGCGTACCCTGCAACAGCGTGCCAGCTCGGAACCAGTGGCTCTGGCGCCAGGATGTGGCGGAGACAACGTTCCTTGGCTCAACAACTCCCTGTTCTGGCTGGACCAAAGGACCTAGGACCCGGGAGGCTGAGCGTCATGCCGCAAGTGGTCGCGCGATCGTGGGGATGACGCCCCTTCTTGTTGCGACCGAGCTGGGATTTGAGGCCCGCGCTGGCGGGTACAACTTTGCACCGCGCCCGAAGCACCTGGCCTGGCTTACAGTCGGTGCGGGGCGCCCCGCACAGCTAGAACAACAAAAAAACACTGCCCCCGAGCGCTGCGAGACTCCCTCGCACATGTTTCCCCATATCCTGAGATGGGGTTCTTGTTATTACTTGGACGCCTCCTACTCCTTCTCCCTCCTCCTCTTTCCTCCTCCCCTCCTCCTCTTTCGTCGTACTCAGACCTACTCATACTCAGACTTACTCATACTCAGATTTACTCATACTCAGACCTACTCATACTCAGACTTACTCACACTCAGACATACTCATACACAGACTTACTCATACACAGACTTACTCACACCCAGACGTACTCATACACAGACTTACTCATACCCAGACTTACTCATACACAGTATTACTCGTACTCAGACTTACTCATACCCAGACGTACACATACACAGTCATACTCAGACTTACTCATACCCAGCGGATTGTGAGGATGTCTCAGGCGGGGCGCTGGTTTCAGCACCCCTAAGGGGAGCCGCCAGGGGTGTTTGCACGGGCTCGTTCGCGGCCATGTTGTGGGGATGTCTCAGGCGGTTTGCTTGTTTCTGGGCCCAACATCCTTCGCTTTCGGAGCAGATTTGGAAGATGTCTCGAGCGAGGCGCTGGTTTCAGCACCCCTAAGGGGAGCCGCCAGGGGTGTTTGCACGGGCTCGTTCGCGGCCATGTTGTGGGGCTGTCTCAGGCGGTTTGCTTGTTTCTGGGCCCAACATCCTTCGCTTTCGGAGCAGATTTGGAGGATGTCTCGAGCGAGGCGCTGGTTTCAGCACCCCTAAGGGGAGCCGCCAGGGGTGTTTGCACGGGCTCGTTCGCGGCCATTTTGTGGGGCTGTCTCAGGCGGTTTGCTTGTTTCTAGGACCAACATCCCTTCGCTTTCGGAGCAGATTTGGAGGATGTCTCGAGCGAGGCGCTCATTTTCACCCCCCAGGTGGGCCAGTTTTTGAGGATGTCTCGATCGGTTTGCTTGTTTTGGTGGCCAGGCTCGTGGGCGCAGATTCTTCTCAGGATGCCACAGGAGGCTCCAACAGGCTCCAGGAGGCCCCAGGAGAACCCACATGAGGTCCCAGGAGCATCAGGAGGCCAAATAAGACTTCAAGAGGCCACCCCAGATGTCCCAGAGGCTCCAGGAGTCACCACCAGGAAGCTCCAGGAAGGCCTCAGGAAACCACAGGAGGCCCAGGATAGGCAACAGGAAGCGCCTTGGGCCCGCATAGCGGCAACAGGATAGGCCCCGAATTCCCCCTTGGAGGCGGGCCTCAGAAGGCAACAGGAGTGGCTCCAATCCCATGTGTTTTACGTATGCTCCTATCGATTGGGCCTCACCTGGAACACGATTCTTTGATGTTCTACGTATGTTTCTATAGCTGGTCCTTCTCCTGTGTACACAATCCTAAATGTTTTACTCATGTTCCTATGTATTGGGCCTCTCCTGGGGCACGAGTCCTTGGTGTTTTACGCGTGTTCCTATATATTGCCCTTCTCCTGTGGCTCTAATCCGCAATGTTTTATGTGCGTCTGTTGCTATAGATTGCGCCTCCCCTGGGGCACGAAACCTTCCTAGGAGGTCCCAGGAGGCCCCGAGAGACTCCTGGAGACCCCAGGAAGCCCCAGTAGGTTTCAGGAGGCCCCAGGAGGCCCCAGGCTCATGCACAGAGACGCGCTCGTACTACTGAGGCTCATTCACACTCCAATTCATTCGCAGTTAGATTGATGTCCAGACCGTCACAACTGAAGCCCATTAATATTCGAAAGCTCTTGCGCCTAGACATTCACGGCGGACAGGTCCATGCGAGTAGATGCACATATGGGGAGCTCCACGCAGTGAATAATTTTTTTGATGATGCGTGAGCAAATCAAAAGCAGCAAAACAAACAGGTACTACAAGGGGTGCGGGTGCTACTTCTAAGCTGTGCCAATCAATCGGAATTTTCCGATGGCACGGCTCTCTGAATTGGCGGCCTGTTATAGTGGTGGCACGCACTGTAGCGGTGGCACGCTGACTAGGGATTCACTTTCTCCATGAGCTTCTTCTTCGTCTCCACCCTCTTCCTCTTCTTTGCCTGGATGAACCTCTCCTTGCGGGTCAACTTGTCGCTGGGGGCCGCCTGAGGCGCCGCCTGAGGCGCTGGCGCGGAGACATCGGGCGAGGCGGCAGTGTTCGCCTTCTCCACGAGCTTCTTCTCCTTCGTCTCCTTCCTCCGTTTCTTCCTCTCCTGGATGAATCTCTCCTTCCGCGTCAACTTGTGCGGCGCCTGCGCCGGATCAACGCCCGAGGCCGAGTGGGGCGCCGCCTGAGGCTCCGGCGCGGAGCCATCGGGCGAGACGGCACGGCGCGATTGCGCCCAAGCCGCATTGACTGCGGGACCGGCCCAGTCGTAGTCCGCCGCAAATTGCTCCATGACCATTTCGAGGATCGTGCGGTTCCGGTAGAACGCCTTCATCAGATTTACGGTGTTGGTCCCGTGGCCTGCTTTTGAGGTGGTTGGGAACAGCTGGTCTGAGAGATGCATGATCTTGGCCCTCGGAGATACGCGGGCGTGGTCCTGCAGCATGTGCTTCACCTGTCTGTGGATGTTGTCTGGCGAGCCCGCCAGAACTCCCACAAAGTTGTACTCGCTCAATTGTCGGCCGCCGCAGAAAGAGTGCTGTGGGTCATAGTGGGCATTGAACCCGCCATTCTCCCGACTTTTGGCCATATATGTCGGAAGCAGCTCCACAACCGTCTTCTCAAACAATTCAACCTTCTGGTTTATGGTCAGATCTGTGATCCGAGGGCCCAAGCAGTCAATCCCACCGTATTCCCAAGCATCACATTTTGACAGCCAGGCGGACAAGAACCGTTCTGTCGGCTCGCGGACGAAAATTGACATGATCCAGCCGTCTGCTTGGGAAACGTTATGCGTACTTAGAAATTCCTTGTACATGCCGTCCGAATTGGATTTCCAAAACGGAATTCGGTCCTTGGTTGGCATGCCGTTCAAGCCATTCATCAGCAAGTTGAACTGCGTGCACGCGTTCTTCTCGATGTAGCAGAAGGCAAACTTCTTGTTCTGAGCGATCAACATGCGATTTTCCCAATTCAGCGACGGCTTGGGACCCGCAAAGGGGAAAGAGCCGTTGCGATCGGGCGGTGCCCATGCCTTCGCCACTCTTCTGGATCGCCCTGGGCGGCCCTCACGGGCTTCCCCTAGTCTTAAGCCTGTCGCCATCAAGCTGTCCTCTGGGGATCCCGATGCAGGCATCCTCTCCGAGAGCTCGTCGGACTCGTCGACGAAGAAATCGTCGAACGGATATGAGAAAGGCTCAGCCTGGACACTGCCGGCCGCAACCTTCAACGCAACGGCCACGGAGCTCGCGTGTAGCACCGCGGCGGCGAGCACAACCATTGTGCGAGTCGACATCAGCAAAAAGGTGTATATGAAATCAGTGTTGGACGTTGTCTCCAAGTCAACGTTGGGAAGGACAGACTGCCTGACGACCGACCGTAGAAATTCGAGACCTTTAGTCAAAATGGCTACGGAGAGACTCCCTCGCACATTTGAGCAGGCCGCGACCCCAGACGCAGTACGCCTCGGGGGCCACATCAGGCCAGAGAGCAAGGCGCTGCCCCTCCCCCCGCCCACCACCACCACCACCACCGTCTGCCCCACTTGTCCCCATCTGCAAGGTTGCCCCCCAGGGGTCCACCCGTGGTCGACGGGCTCCTCCTCCTGGGAGGTCAGCGAACACGGCAGGCCAAGACTCGCGGCGCAAGCCGACCGCGTCGGGTCGCGGGGCTCTGGGGGACACACAGATGAACCTCCAGCTCGCCAGCCCACTGCCTTGCTTCGCGCTCCAGCTCGCGAAACCCACGCACAAGGTCGGCGTGGGACTGTGAAACACCGAGCAGCAACGCTCCTGCCTTGCCGAGTGCGTCAGCACTAGCATTTGCCTTTTCTCCCACCGCGTGGTGCAGCAGTGGTCACCGTCCGTAGACGTGGCGTGAGCCATGGTCTGATGCGCTTCGAGATCGCAGGTCTTAAACCTGCTCCAGACAAGTGTCTGCAAGTGACCTCTGGGGGGCCCCGGTCCGAACCCTTCTAAAGAGCCTCCAGGGTGGTCTGCCAGTCACAGCAAAGCTAAAA